TACCTTCTTTATCGATGATTTTAGTTCATGTATTCGTTTATAGAGCAAGCCGACTTGTTTCTATGGCGATTTAAAACATTCTATTCGGAATATAGTTTTGATCATTTAAAGCCAAACGGAAGACGAAATCTGTACCTATTCAAGAGTACCTGTAATTAAAATAATGGCAACATTGACAAATCACTTTGCACTCTGTATGAATTTGTGACTACATCGTATTTTAGATTTTCTTGTTTTATTTCAGGAAGCTGTAAAGTCATTTGGTATAATTTTCTTAACTGTTCGAAAAAAATTAGAATTATTATTTAGGATTAGAATTTGTATTTAAAGCGACTAACTTTTTTTGATATAAAATATCATTTGATTAATTTAAAAAAATATTAATGACGTCATAGTTTCGTGAAATAGATAACACACTGCATATATGGCTTAAATGGAACTGAAAAGTCATTTGGTATAATTTTCCTAACGAGAAAAATTACAATTATTAATTAGGATTTGCATTTAAGGGGACTAATTTTAATATTATAAAATATCAATTGTTCCATTTAAAAAAATATTAGTGACGTCATAGTTTTGTGAAATAGATAACACACTGCATAAATGGCTTTAAAAGAAGAATTTACTTACGATTCAAACAATAGCTGCTAGTGAGCAGGACTCTTATATCTAATGGGGGTTTCAAAATCTTCTTTCATCTTGGACGCTATTTTTACTCGAAATAGTAGTCGCCAACAATGTCACCGTATGAAAAATACTTTTTTTTAATAATATTTTAATTGTGTTCAACATAAAATATTTAAATTTAATTCCTTATTCATGATTTTACGTATTGTAGATAGAATACATCGTATGTCGCAACTTTCTAAATATACCACCAACAAGTTCTTTTGTTTTGAATGCCTAAATCCTTATTAAGCTGCGTAAAAACCGTGTCAACGAATGTCAACAAAGGGATTTAGTTGGCGCGGCATAGACGGTTTAGCGAATACCAACGAGGGTTTGCTGGCGTTTGCCGACTAGAGGAATTGTAGAGATATAACATAAAAGGAGTGGGTGACTCGAGCTAACGAAATGTGGACAGATGCCCAAACGAATATCATACCATAATGAACATTTAATCCGGATACATGCCCAAACGAACGTTTGATCGAGCAACAAATGCATGTATATTGTATATTAACGACGCCCAAATTTGATTTAGTTAAAAAGATTAGCAAAGTTACGATAATTTTAACAATTTTTTTTTATGTTCAGACAAACTAAATGAAATTTTTTAGAAAAAGGTTTCAGCGTAACACAGATTTAACTTAACAGGTACATAGGTATTTTTTTCTTTTACAATTCATTGACAAATGTGAATACAAGACACATTGTGAACATCAGACAAATATGAATATAAAACTTAGAAAAACTAGAATAAAATATAAAAAATTATTACATCGAGAGCTGAATCCACACGAGTTCTGATCTGAAAAGTCAACGCCTTATCCACAAATCACATTCGCTAGATGCATTTGTTTGCGAGACTGTATAATAACTATGCGAAAGCCAAAGTAGAACGAGTTTAGTGGTATTTGCAACAAGAGTTCATATGGACAATCCACTCGAAGTGTACAGTATATTTTTTCTACGACCAACTAACGAAAATCTACAAATTTAAAAAAAACTATTTTAGGTTTTTAAGACAAAATAACTTATTTTAAAATAATTTATGACTTTAACTAATTTATGAAATAAAATAAACATGAAAAAAAAAAAGATTTAATTTAATTAATCCCCAGCTGAGATTTGAACCCAATCCTCTCGCCACACTTACGATTTTAGTTTTAATACTTTTAATTAAATTATTTTTATATAGTTCGATTAAAATTTAAATGTAAATGTAGACAAAAGAAATGCTATTATTTATCGATTCTACACAAGAATAACTCATTTTTACGTATATTTAATCTTAATAACTAAAAAATATACTGACAATTAGTTTGACAGAATTGTTACTCATATAAAATTTAAAAAAATAATAGTAGCCGAGTGGCCAAAATATGAACTGTGATTGGTGGATTTAATTTTTTTGCAGTGTTCATGCTAGGTAAAATGGATATGAAATATATTCGTTAAGTTAAACGCAATGGCATACTTCTCCGTTCTGTAATCTTTGCTAATACTCGAGTGTAGAAAAAAATGTATTCATACTTATTTTTTACAGAATCTAGAGAATGAATATGTAACTACATATCAGCCTATTAAACGAATAAAACGTTTAGGTATCTATTCTATATTGAGTATATTGTGTGTTGGATCGATGGCGTAGGTGTCTAACGCGCTCGTATTTATTTGCAAGCAATTTCGTAATTCAGAGGCAGCTTTAAATCCTACAGAAGGCCATGTGAATTTATTTGCATGGTTCTCTATAGGATTTGATGAATGTCGTATTAGCAGAAATTTCTGTTGATATGATATCCAGATTATTAAAATAGCCATGCGTTATCGTTGCGATGATGGTGTAAGTCAAATGACACCATCAATTAAGGCTATCAATTCCTGACGTGATAAACGGTTAATCGGTCCGACTGATTTTGACTGGTTTCGGTTTTAACCAAATTTTTACATTATTATAACCGGTCCGGATATTCGGTTAACCGGTCCGATTATCAGGTCAACTGCTCCGGATAACCGGTCAGATTACCCGGTTAACTAGTCCGATCAAACCGAGCCAGTCGAAAAGGACCGGTTAGACCGGATTCGGCGGTGGGTAAGTAGGTAAAACTAAAAAACAAAAACATAAATTATATTCAAGTAAAAAAATCAACTTATCAACGTTTTCCGGCAGCAAGCAGTTTCTTTTCGCCAAAACTATGTTTCCTGCACTGGAAAACACCCATTCACCCACACGGATATTATACATATATTCTAAGCACAGACTGCAAAACCTAAAAGTAGGCCATTACCTTCTACTAAATGAATATAAAATTTAATATTCATCTAGAAAGGTCGGACTATTATTATTTTTTTAAATTTTAAACTAATTGTCACTATATTTTTTAGTTATTGAGAATAAATACAATTTAAAATGTGTGTTTTTGTGAAGAATCGTTAAAAAATAATAGCATTCCACAAGATATTTACAAATAAATCGTAAATTGTATTGACACTAAACCAATCTATTTATCAGTACAAAAAAAAAGTTGTTTCTCTCGTTATTTCAAAGATAGAGTAGTGATTTTTCATGCGAAAGGTTCAGGGTTCAAATCCAGGACGAGAACTAATTAAATTAATTTTAAAATTTTGTAGGTTTTCTTTTGTGGGTCGTAGAAAAAATTTACTACACAATTGAGTTCCTACAGCGTCGTGCTCAAACTTTGTCTTCATATACGTTCTTCTTGCACAAATTACTGTTTTTTTTTTTAGTTGTTTTAAATTAGTGACAATTTTGTCAAACTAATTATCTTATTCTTTTTATTAGGATAAATATAATTAAAAATGAGTGATTCTTATAACGAAGCGAATCGATAAATAATAATCTATTAGATATTCATCGTTAATAGTTAAAAAAAACCGAAAATTTTGGTAAAATTATAACAACATGACCTAAACCAATTATTTAAGTGTAAATGTCAAAGATAAATAAATAATAAGTTTAAGGGATGAGTTTTCGTACGAAAGGTCCGAGGTTCAAATTCGGGTTGAATTTTTTTTTTTCAAGTTTATTTTATAATTTGGTACAATCCAGAAATAATCTTTGTGTTAGGTAATTATTTTTAAAATAGTAATTTTATGTTAATAACGTTTTAAGACGTTGTAGATTTTCTTTATTGATTCGTAGAAATTCACTCGTATACTATACAATACTATACAATTCGAGTGGTTTGCTTGTATCACACTGAATACTTTATTGAATTTTTGTAGATCGTATGTTTTAAAAATAACACGAAACGGAACATACCGTAACAAAGTCAGTCTTCACAAAACTTTCCAATAAAAATTACCTATGTATAAAAACAAATGTAGTATTCTCTAATCAATCCCTTTATTATTTATTATTGAATTTGAAATTGTAGGTGTTCGTTTTTTGAACTATTTACCCTTAATTCTGAAGTATTTTTATTATTTTTAAAATTTCCTGCCAATTATACCTACTTCTATTTATACAAAAAATGCAAACATAATGTCGGAAATTTAATACAACTTGGCATCGATGGTTTATATCCCACTCTCCGCTTTGACCTGACTTTCGTTAGCGGAAACCGGTAGTATTTAGAGAAAATAGTTTTGAGTAAAATACTTTATTAAACAGTAATTGAACGAGGTTGGTTTCCAAGATATGTAACGGTTCTCAGTTGTGATTCGGTGTCTTTTAGACTCCCGCCTTAACTTTGATAAATATAACACATAAAATATTTAAAAAAAAAACCCTCATATCTGTTCCAAAGGTTTAAATTTTTTCAAAATCAAAATAATAGAGGTACACGAAACAAACAATTACTGATATTACCACGATTTCAGTCCGCAATATTTTTGCATAGTTTTTCATATGCGGCTTGTAAAATATAAAAACTATACCATTTACAACTTTAAAAAGAAAATTAAACTTTATGTTAATTCCCTTCCCTAATCGTCCTTATTGATAAAAACTTGGCAATTCGGTCTTTGGTTCGTGTACCTGCTTGAATTTTAATTTTCAGTTCAATTCATATATAGTAGCCTATGGATGTTATTATATATACATAATATTGTTCTTTCTTTAACTTATATTTTGTTTCTTTACGACTTGTTTTTTCGATTTGTATTTTTTTTTGTGGGTTAAGTTGAAAAACAGCTTTAGCTGAACTTCGCCCTTTTATGTACACTTTATATAAATAAACACGTTTATTATTATTATTATTTGTGTTTGCCAAAAACATAAATTTATTTTTAAACTGACAGTCAATGAAGTTTAAGGAGAGGCTGCTCAAAAATAATATCAAAATAAACTATTTGAATCCATAAAATATGCTTACCGTCAGTCGTAATTTCTTTTTCTAATTTCAATTTTTCCTTATTCATTTCTAGCATGCCTTCTTCGATAGTTCCTTGAGAAACAAATCGGTAGACCGTCACAGGTTTACTCTGGCCCATTCGATGACACCTGTCTTCAGCTTGTTTGTCATTGTACGGATTAAAATCTATGTCGTGGATAATTACCGTATCAGCTGAAGTCAAATTGATGCCCAATCCACCTGCTCGAGTCGACAATAAAAATATAAAGTAACTCGAATCGTCTGTAAATTCATTAATCAGATCTTGCCTGGAAACAAATTTAAATTTTATACAAATCGGCACGTTTTTTATTATAAGAAGTTTAAAATATTCACGGAATGATTAATAATTAAAGGGTAAAGTCGACAACAGTAATTCATTGATGATGTCCAGTATGATAAGACACAATTTATTAGAAGTAATGGAGCCACACTGTCGTCCAATGCATTTGACAGCTCAGTATAAAGTGAAAGCAAACATCATAAATTTATCTAAACTGGTATGCACTGTTTCACAAATGATCAATTTTGAATGCATGTAAAAGAGTGTTGTGAAAAATATTAAGAAAAGTGTCAATACAAACCTAATATTAACTGCTGTACCTCCATCTAGCCTCATATACTTATGGTTTCTAATTCTTAAATATTGTTCTACTATATTTAACATTATCACATACTGGCTGAAAATTAATACTCTGTGGCCGTTTAGCTTCAGATCTTCCAGCATCTGGTCAAGCTGCACGAATTTTCCAGAAGTCAGCATTTTCTCGTCGGGAAGTAAAAATTTGCGCAAACACTATTCAAAGAAATTTAATTGTTAGTTGAAGGATAATTTAGGAAGAATTAAAAATCCATGTATTAGCATTAAATTCCTGTATAGAGAACTTACAAAAGTCACTATGTTCTGATCGAAACACATGCATGATTCAGTGCACAATACCTGCTTCTTTCATTACGTAACAAATAAACAATTATTTATATCTTAGTTCTAAAATTTTGTTTCGTTTTGTGAAGTTGCTTTGTTAATTTTCTGAAAATGGTTTCATTTGTTGTGAATACAAATTTAAAAATATTTTTTTTTTTGGATTGCTCCAGAGACTGAAAAATAAGCTATTGCTAATATATATTTTTTTAATTATATCAGAGTGTGTCTGGTAAACTACAGCAACTTTTTTATGTTAACTTTTATTTATAAACGGTACTCTTTTATAGCAAAACGATCCAATTTAAGCTATAACTGGGTTCCATCAAGAAATGGGCTCTTATGGCAATGATATAGAATACCTAACTTTAAACAGATCTTAGATTGCAGTTGCCAGCCAAGAAAAATCATTGTACCAGAAGTATTACATTTTTATCATATGTTTTATTTAAACAAGGATAATTTCTTGACTGTAGTACAATTTTATATGAATAATTATTGTTTTATTTTGTAGGTTGTCCCTGATGAATTTGAAGTTATACAAATATGCTCTATCTATAAATGCTAGAGGTACTGAAAAACAGTGTCAGACTGATGTAGCGATAATGATTTTACTCAAACGATGGTATCGCTTGCATCTACAAACAAATGAAAAATAAACTTACATTAGTTTTTTTTTTAAAGACGATATAAAAAATAAATATTGCACTGGCCTAAATCAATTCAAAAAACTGAATAGTTGTGTCTATGTTAGATATATTATGAAGACTAAATTAAATACTTACAGATATCAGTACCTGGGAGGTAAAGTGGGCTATGTCGACATAGTGTAGTTTTATTAAGAGTATATTTGTAAAATCAGCTCATCGATACCTTTCCATGTATTAGTGAAGTCACAAAAAATGTATAACACTATGTTCAATAAACTTACGAGTTAAACAAGTCCATGTGCACATAATGTTTTTAACTTTCACGTTAGTTATATTATTTATAGAGGCATGTTGGAGGTACATGATACTATCTCATAGAAAACATGTTACAAAAACTAACAATTCATTTATATTAAAAAAAGTTTTATTAGTTAAATTATTAGCAAACAATACATATTGTGACAATAATTAGGGCTAACTGCATTTTTGTCAAAATATAATTAATACTAGCTGACCCGATCCCGCTTCGCTGGAATTTTTATTAGTTTTTAATAATTTTTATTATATATAAAGATAAAGAGAAGATATGTAAATATGGAACACAAAAAGTGTCCAAACATTCAGTCTGCTCTACTGAAAAGTTAACAGGAATGACATAGTGCAGTTTACCTCCGAGATACTACTGATATACCTGTTAAATAATTTTCAAAACTTTGGCTTAATCATTCTTTTATTGTACCTATTTTTTTAGTCTATCATGTATTGTTTTAGCCTTGATTATATTATTGACTGATCTTATAAAATAAACGCCATTTTAGTGTAATGTCATATTGGTTCCACTGACATTTAATTCTAACCAAACATCAATAAATTTGACATAACGTTTTTACTGTGTTAAGTTTTTTCTAAATATTGTTTGCAGGTCATAAAAAATAGTTTAAAGGTATGTAATTGGTAACTAAACAATTGTATATTTGATACATGTTACCTACTTACGTTAGGAATGTATTTATAGAAGTGAAAAAACGATATAATTTAGGTAAACAAAACGAACAAAACGCACTCAAAAAATCTACTGTCACTTTAATTGTCAGTGGAAACATAATTAAATCATCACTAGAATGGCGTATAAAAGGTATTTAAAAAAATATTTTATTCAACATGTGTAACAAACTGTGAAAATGATAAAATTTACAATAAAAACTGAAAAACGGTAGGTAAAATTTCATATAATAATATTGTTACACAAAAATCATTGAGGCTTACTACATAATCTGATAAATATTCAAAAATAATCTCAAAATATGAAGAAAAGTCAACTGACTATAACTATTAATGTTTATAGATGGTATTCAACGCATTAAAAATAAAACGAATATTACAATATTGCCAGCTGTCGCTATGCTGGCCTTTTTTGTTTTTTCAATAATAAATAATAACAAATAATGAATTTCAAAATTCATTGCTGCACTGCATTCTCAGTGTGTCCGGTACTATAGAACATCGAGAACAAAGATGCTTACAGAGAGTAGGACTACTGTAAGTTATCTATACTGGGATTAAATTAAGAAATTTCTACATAAAATCCCTGTCACATTACAAAAAATTTATTTGTTAAACGTTTCAAGTTGGAGTGTTCTTCCAAAAAGTTAATGATTTGAAAATAAAAAACATTTTTATACTTATCTAGAATTGTTATGAAAGAGTATGGATTAATTTTATTTTTAACAATTTATAAATTTTGTCCTTTAGAAAAATTAAAACGTTTCTTGAAGCTAACAAACAAATTAAAATCGTTCATATAATACTCACCGAAAATTCCTTTGATAATGTGTGTATTTCAAAATCTGACATCCACGTTAAGTCATCAACAATATATTGCACAACTGTGTCTTTATAACCGGGATCAACAGCTAGTAACTTTGCTATTTCCTGTAACGTGTCTATGTCATAATGAAATCTCATTAACAGTGGATGATTACTCAACTTCCTTAAATCCGTCATTATACTCATGCCACTATACATGCTTTGTCCCTCCTAGAAAAATAAAGTAACATTTTTAAAATCAGTTTGGTTACTTCAGTTTAGAAACTACAAATATTGACATATTATTTTATAGAACAATTTGAAAATTCGGAAACAAATCTCCTATAGAGGTATTTGAAGATTTGAGATCGAGCCTGAAACGGCGTCTGGCCCGAACTAGCACATAAAATTTCTGTCTAGGAATCTCGACAATCAAAATCTACGATATATTAAATTCACAATTTTTTATTTTATAATTTGGTTTTTTAAAATTGTACATCGAGTGTGTTCAAAGAACGAACAGTAGCGCATCATCATATTGATTTGAATTTCTTTAACAATGGAGGGTCTATGGCTACTTCTGACACGCTCTTACCAAAATTATGCCTTGTCAAGTATAATATACAGGGATTTTCCTAGTTAAAGGGAAATATTTATCATGAACAATCGTTTACTAGCACAAAATTGTCTTGAAATTACCAATAACATATTCAATGGAAACATTGAAAATATACAAAACTACATACCGCATTAACTGTTTTATAAGATGCTACCAATTGTTCGTATTGTTCCTTTTGTGTAGGCGTCATTGGAACTTTCATAACGTAGTCAGTTTTCTTTGGTAAGTCTTGAAGTACGTCACATTTTAATCTTCGCAAAACAAAAGGCATCATAATCCTCTTGGCTTGTTCGATTTGTTCTTTTTCAAATGTAGGAAGAGAGTCGTTATCTTGCTCCTTTTTCTAAAAAACAAAAATTAACAAAATAATTGATAAAATATCAGAAAAAGAAAATAATTCTATAAAAACAAACTTACAGATTTCTGAAATAAACTTTTCAAGTCGTCAGCTTTTTCTGCGAAAATTTTTGGCATAACAAATATTAACAAAGACATCAGTTCCAATAAATTGTTCTGTAACGGTGTTCCAGTTAGGAGTATTCTATGTTTTGCCTAGAAAATGAATATATTATTTTTAGTATTCTTAAAAAACAATGATAAATAAAATTAATAACATAACAGGTCAATAAGAAACTGATACTGATTTGTTGCAAGCTAATATGAGTAGATTGTACAACTGGTTCACACTGCTCTCGACCTTAACACATCAAAATGTTATGCCAGGCAAACAACTACTTTTTTCTAATTTTGAAATATAAAGTGACATTTTTTTTATAATCGCAGCAAGTTTCAAAATGATCTACTTTACACAATCAGTTGCATAATGTTGAAGATTATAAAACTGATTTAGAAAAATTCATTATGTCAGCAGTTGCGAAAAGAAAAATAAACCTTTTTTTATATTAAAATCAATAATATACATTATTAAAAGCTTACATCAAAGAAGGGCAGGTTGACTAATAAAAATAGAATTTGGTTAGACTTACAACCTAGTAATACTGTTGTTTTCGTCCTTATTTTCCATTCTAACTCAGCACAAAATAATTCAAACACAATAGGCGACAAAATAACCCACTTTCTTGAAATCTAAATATCTTTTACAATTAAACTAATTAAATTAATATTTTCTATTTGTCAATAAAAGAATCAAGTTATATGCAACTAACAATACAAAAAAGTAGAAATAGTGTTTGCCTAGATGTCAGTAATTTTTTACCAAAACACAATTTTAAAAATAATTAGTCAAAATTAGAAAAAATATTGTATGTAACACGTTATGAAATACCATTTTATGTAACTCGTTCATGTTGAGGGATCTCGCTCTGCTCGTCCCGCAAATATTCACTCGTTACATAAAATAAGGCATTTCGTAACTGATTTCATAAATAACAATTATTCATAATTATACAGGGTACCAAAATAGGAAAAAAATAAGCTTTTCTCTGATATATAACACGACCTACGTTGCCATTTAAAAAAATTCAAGATGGCCACTGTACGCTAACAGTTGACGTCACATCAATTTGACATGTTTTCTAAAAAATGCAGAATACAGTCCCATTCATCGCCTACAATATGTTCATTCATTTCAAAGAGTTGCCAGACTTTTTCTCTACACTATATGGTTAATGGCAACATTCTTAACAGGCCGAATGAAATATCTTGGCGTTATTATGGATAAATCGGTTTTATAAAAAAATCCTTAAATATAGAGTATGATTACATATTAATAGACACAAATTTTGATTCTTAAAATATATTATCTACTTCTTCAAGGGCTAAATTTCGCTACTTTTGGCATCACTGACGATATTCTACTTACAGGCACCTTCTACAAATTTCCTCCAGAGGGCGTATCACTTAGTTTGAGTACAAGGCAGCGGTCATTACTTTTGTACACTTATGAACCTATTTATGTTGAATTTTGTAATGCAATATGATTCTTATGAATTAATTAAGGGACTATTAAGAACATAATAATTAAGAAAAAGATATATTGTCATTGAATAAAAATAATTTATTAAAATGTAATCTTTCGATTAATGATCAAACTATTAATAATAATAATAATATTCGGACTATTCGAACAAATGATTGCGAATAACGAGAAGACGGAAACGAAAAAAATCACAGTCACAGTTTGGTAGCAACTTTAGTAACACTCGTTACCTGCTACTTTTTAATATCAGTGAAGAAGTAACAGTTCGTGAAATAACGCTCATCACTATTATTTACTCTACATAATTTATATAAATGAACTACCAGAAGTTGTTAACGAAATTTTATTACAATATGCCGATGACGTCATTGATTTATGCAAGGGAAAACTAAATTCCACATTAAATACATTAGAACATTGGTTTAAAAACAATAATCTTGTGTTAAATGTCAATAAAACTCAAGTGATTAATTTTAATCGTGGCACGGATGAAAGCCTCGCATTTACATACAAGGACAAACATACAATTTCAGAAACTTAATTAACATTCCTGGGAGTGACGTTTGATCGGAGACTGGACTGGAAAGAGCACATTCAAAAATTATCGGGTAATATTTCCAAATTTAGCTAGGCTCTAAGAATACTTTCAAAAAAAAATCAAACTACTCTTCTAACCGCATATGCAGTCTAGAATTAATTATGGAATAATTTTCTGGGGCAATTCAGTAGATGCGCAACATAATTTGTTTTACAAAAAAGGTGCCTTAGAAATATATTCCACTTGAAAATATGTGGTAGTTATAAAAATATTACGATCTAACATTCTAAGATACACCTATATAAAAAAAAAAAAAAATTGAATATTCCTTTCAAAAGATTTCTGCTTTCTGCACTAAAGACTTAACTTAAGAAATCAGACCACTAAAATTAAAACAAGTAATTCCTGTGTGATAAAGCTTATTACAACTTGGACGAATTCTTAATTGTTAAAAACAAAAATGTATATTATGTAAAAAATGTGTATTTATGTATAACATGTACATTTATGTAATATAAGTAAAGGAGCAGCAAGAGTTTTAGCGCACACTTTATGTGAATTAACATTGGAAATCGCTAAGGTTCATTCTGGCAATTTTTGTCGCTACTAGCATACCCTTCTTCTCTTCGCTCATTTCTAATTTCCTCTTCTTCGAATGCTTCATAGTTGTCCTCTTGTGTACAAGAATATTGTGGACTTAAAACAACAGTACAATCTGACAATGGTGTCTCTTGATCAATTACGGCCAGAGCTGACATCAATACTAACACATTTAATTTTAACTTGATTGTTTATACTCACAGCTTATCACTATCTTAATCACACTTAATATATGATTACTTGTTCAATAGAAGGGCATAAAGCCTTCTATTACCAGCAGCAGAAACAGCAGAAAGAAAAAATTAATTTACAGTGAGTAATCTAACATAACATAGTAAAATCTACAAAGTAAACACTTTGAAATTTAATATTTTTCCTTTTTAAAAACCAGTTTAACCATAAACACATTGATATCCTATCTATCAGTCGTGCTTGATCCGATAGTATCACATTTGTTAAAGCGGACCACACATGCAAAACACGATAAAATTTTAAATATTACATACAATGAGTGAAATAGATAATAACACAACGTTAAAGGATATTTTAAATGAGATTATCAATAATAAAAAGGAACTAAAAAATGCAATAGATGCTTTCGAGGCTAAACTATTATTGAAGGTGGAATCGGTACAAAGTAAAGTCACTGAATTACAAAAAGAAAACCAGTTACTGAAGGAAGAAATTGAAATTCTTAAGCGAAAAAATAAGAAAAATAGCATTGTCATTTTTGGGCTTCAAAACATTCAAGATAACCTAAACATACAATACATTTGCACACAAATTAAATCGCTGTTGGATATAGATATAAAACCATCTGAAATTAATGATTTTATACCCTGGGAAAAGAAAAAATAGCCCTTTGAAAGTAAATTTTGTCTGTTCGCGGAGGAAAACTGATTTTTTTAAAAAATTGTAACAAACTTAAGGGAAAAAATATAAGCATTGTACAACAAACCCCCCAAACAAAGATATGAGTCCAATATTCTTAGAAAACATTTAAATTTGGCAAAACAAGTGTTATATTAAACGAAATAAGTTATATGTGAATGAAAATATTTATTCTGTTGAAGACTTGTTCGGCGTAGCAAACAACCTAAACAAAAAACCGAACAGTGCTTCATCGACTCCAACTGCTGTGGACCCGACACTTCCCAAAAATAGAAACGTCTTTTCTGGTACTTCTCAAGATTCAAACAATGCGATTATTATCAAAAATCCACCCAGTACACCTAACATTAACAAAATTAGAAGTGGAATTCATGTTAACAAACCAGAAACCAGGGTCAGAGACCCAGAATCAATTCGCAAAAGTAGATTTAATATTTTATTTAATCACAAATTTTATCTTCTCTATTTTAAATTATTCTGTCTTTCATATTTGTATATATCTATAGGTTTTCTCATTGTAGTTTGTATTTTAAGTTATATTTTTAGTAAGTTTTTTTATTCGTAATAAATTAAGGATATGAAACGTAATATCAGATTTTCACACCTAAACGTAGGATCTATTTTCTCTGTATTTGATCGAGTAACTGACTACTTATTGAACAAAAACATAGACATATTTGGCGTTAGTGAGACTTGATTAAACCCTCAAATTGATTCTACTAATATTTTTATTCATCCTTACAACGTTGTTAGAGCTAATAGGGATGGGAGAGGCGGATGTGTTACTTTCTATATTAATTCAAGTATCAAATATAATTTATTTTTTTCACGAATTACTCCTAACCTTGAGCAACTTTGGATTTCTACCAAGTTTCACGGAAAAACATATATTTTTGGAGTTATATATCGCCCCCCTAATTCTTCTGTTATTAGCTGTCTTGATGAATTGGAGGATAGCGTCGCCAACTTGTTACCATCTTGTGATTTTTTCATTGTCTCAGGGGATATTAATATAGATTTTATGATACCTAGTAGAGGTTGTGATCTATGTATAAATTTTTTAAATTCCTATGGACTAACACAAATTGTTAATGAACCAACTCATATAATCCCACACAGCAAAACTCTCATTGACATTATATTTTGTATCAGATATCCATCAAACATGTGTTGAGGTATTAGATGTCAGAGGCCGTTGCTTGTCATATCATCAAGCTGTTCTTACATAGGGTATGCTAGTAGCGACAAAAATTGCCAGAATGAACCTTAGCGATTTCCCATGTTAATTCATATAAGGTTTGCTCTAGAACTGTTGCTGCCCCTTTACTACTATGTCATGCTCTACACCTCTAAAGGTATTTTTAGAGTAAATAAATAATTATCTCTGAGTAATATAAGTAATATTCAGCACTTGTTAGGTCAAGTCTTGAGTATGGATCTGTTGTGTGGTGCTCTTTTTACTTTCCTATCTGTATACAGATATAAGGAAAGTATAGGAATCATGATTTTTTCGACCTCGAGTTTTCGACGGATTTTTACGTTTTGAGGTCCCCTGAATCCGTTTTGACTATTTTCGCGATGATGTCTGTGTGTGTGTGTGTGTGTCTGTATGTCGCATAACTCATGAACCGATACACAGAAAAACACCAAATTTTAAACTTAAGCTTTATTCCAGCGTCTAATGAACTGATTAGATTTTGGGCAGAGTCGGAATATCTGGGGGGTACTTTATAGGTGGTCATTTTTCTATTTTATGGAATATATCTGTAATTTGCGTTTGAAGAAGAAAATTCTTCCAATAAAAGTTACTTCTAATATAATTATCTATAATTTTTGTTCTATACAAAATTTTCCTAAAATGGTCCGTATTCGAGAAATTTGACAAAATGTAAAAAAAATAATTTTTTATAAAAATTGTTCAAATAAAAGTTGTTTGTAATATAATTCTCTATAATTTTTATCTTATACATAATTTCTCTAAAATGGACCGTATTCGAGATATTTGAGAAAATGTGTAAATTTCGAATTTTGAAGAAAACTCAAAACGGACAGAAAAAACATTAAATTTTAAACTTAAGTTTTATTTTGGCCTGACGTGAAATGATTAGATTTTGGACAAAGTCGGAACATCTGGGGGGGGGGGGGTACTTTATGGGAGGCCGTTTTTATATTTTATAAAATATATCTGTTATTTATGTTTGGAGAAGAAAATTGTTCAAATAAAAGTTACTTCTTATATTATTACCTATAATTTTTGCCTTATGTCAAAATTTCCTGAAATGGTCCGTATTCGAGAAATTTGAGAAAATGTGCAAAATTCTGATTTTTATGAAAATTGTTGAACTAAAAGTTGTTTGCGATATCGATCTATATAATTTTTGTTTATACATGATTTTTCTAAAATGGACCGTAATGGAAAAATTGTAGGAAAAGTGCTAAATTTAAATTTTTCAGTATTTTCGTTTTCAATGAATATCTATAGAAAAATGTTTCGAGGTAGATGTATGTGGAAAATGTATATATTTAGTTTATCCTCTAAACATTATAGAGGTGATGCAATAGGTTGTACAAAATAACCGGAAAAAGCCTATAATAACAAGATAGGAAAGTCATGTGTTGGACACATCAGATTTTTATCAATGTGACAATATTTTAGAAAGACAACAGAAAAAACCTTAAGACACTATGCTTTTAGGTTTGGTCAGAGATTAGGACATGCTATGATTTTCTTTTACTATATGGAGAATGGTCGCACTGCGCAGCTTTCTGAGTGCCTTTTAAAAGGAGATAGAAAACTCCGCCATTTTGATCCCTTATTACGTGTTGCCTACACCTTAGCGCAATATTTTTAATAGGTGCGTTTTAATAATCTGCTTCTGCTTCGGAATTGTCGGTTTTCTTGTTTTAATCTGACAGGTTAAAACGACTAAACCGACAATTCCGGAAGCAGAAGCGGATGATTAAAACGCACCTGATATTTTGCTTGCTGCTGTCAGTGTCTGTGAATATTATTTTTGGGGTCACAGTTTATTGCTAAAGAATCAGTTAGCTCACTCGGACCAGTTGAAAGTTCCAAAATAACATCCACTCCAGGAATACAAGTTCAGGATACGCAGAAGACTGCTGTTTTATTATAGGCGGTTGTCATATATTGTATTATCCGAGTTGCGCAGTGTATAAACTGAAACATTGAGATCAAAAGTGCCGACGCAGAGTGAGCGATCTGATTCTGTAGCTATAAACTGTGGCATAGGAATCAAAATGGCCCTATGTTGGGCGTGTCGGACCTCTCTCTTGCACCGTATAGTAATCAAAGTATGTGGATTAGGAACATAAAGATAGGAAACGCAACGACCGCAGCAACGATGGCGTCATCTATGCATATCAGATGTTAACTAAAAGTATACGTCGTTTGTAGACACACCAGTGTTGCCAAATATTTTTTTGAGAGATCATAAAAGTAGAGTAGAAAAATGGTACCTATTTCAATAAAAAAATCGTACAATAGGTAAAGAAAATACATGAAACTTTAAATTAACACATTTAAAGTAATCATGCAATGACTATCACTTTCTAATGCTTCTAATGGTGTTGGTACAAAATCACCATGGTCAAAATCAGGATGAGAACGAAAATTAGTGCCTTCAGAAATTACAAACGGCCTATGAATATTTGCAAGTAGTTCTTGATTTTTATTGGGGATAAAAAAGGGAAGATCGTTTTTTTTACGTACGATCTTACTGATGCAATCGTACATCCTACAAAGAGTTAAAAAATCGTATAAATGCGATTTAAATCGTACGGTTGGCAACACTGAGACAGACAGTAGAGGTGGACAGCAGTGGACAGTTTGTTAATATAAATGTCAGTTAATTTTATGTATATCGAAGAATCCTGAATTTAAATTTTAAATTTTGAGTTCATGATTGTGTTATCCTCTAGAGATGAACTAAGCTAAATGGTTGTGGCTGTTTTGGTGTGAAATTTGAGGACAATAATTATATTTTGTAACATTACAATAAGTCGGAGAACGTATTGCATTAGTAACACATGCCACATGAATAAATTTAACAACCCCAATGTGGCGTTCTTTAACCAAAGTAAGATCTAGACATGTAAGTAACACAAATAATAACCAACTTTTGTCACAAAGTAGGTATTTATTTATTTATTGTTTTAGAACAAGAAAATGGCTTCAAAACGATAGTAAGAAGATTTGATATAGGAAGAAAAATATCTGAATTCCCATTATTGAGTTTGCACTCAATATTTTTAAACAAGATACTATTGGCCATTCGTTTGGAAAATAAGACCAAAAATGCAATGTTACAAATAACGATTAAAAATTAAAAAAATATGTGTCATGAATAAATAGATTTACAATAATTAATCGATAATAGACTGTAAGTGTAGTATTCTTTTTAATAAATAATTTAGCGTAATTACATTGTTTAAATTTATTTACAAGAACATGAGAGTGCATTCGATATTTATAAAACCTTTATTATCAGGTTTTTAAATTTCCCGCTGCGTTGTTTGATATCGATGAAAGCGCCACATAGTGGGTCAGATGTTAACTGCGTTAAAGCTGGTTGTTCCTAAGCATTGGCTTCTTATGAGCGTTTCCTATCTTTATCTCCCTCATCTCTGGGTTGGGTTATAGGTTGTTTAGAAGTTGATTTATGGTTATATCAATTGTCCTGATTCTCACAATTTTGTTTTAATGCTGGATCAAAAATAAACAGAAATATACCTATAGTTGATAAACAATCACGCTCAGCCAATTATGGTTATCACAGTCCATTGCCTCGTTTGCCTCGGTGAATGTAATGATTGTCTGTTAGATATTTTATACAAATTTTTTTAACACTTTAAATTATAAATAATATTGCAAAAGTTTCATGTTCAATTTATTTTTTAAATTTCATGTTTATTACGTTTGTTTATTTTTATATTTAAATTATATTTCTGTGATTTTAAACTTGTATACATTACTAATTATCTGTCTGTGATTGTCAATTTTAACCTGCTTAATAATATACATATAAATATGTATGTACCTTGTTTTAATTAATTTTGTATTTTTTCTTAATATGTGCTCAAAATCCGGTAAATAAATGAATAAATAAATAAAACTTACGTTTATTCTTATCAAATTTTCGTATCGTTGAGTATTCATATTTTTTAACATATGGGCCTCGTCAAAAATTACATAATGCATTCTAGTAACTCGAAACATTTTTCTTTCTTCAGGGCTGTTACCAACTATAGTATACCTAAAAATTTCAATATTATCTATTAAATAAGCAATTCGACAGACTAACGACTGAGACAAAATTAAAAATTTGTTTACCTATAGTTGGGCAGCATGTCTTTACCTGTGCTTTAAACCTAATATGAATACGAAATAAGTCAAGAAATTTTAGATACAACAATGTGTGTCTTGAAATTAAGAACGTAGTTTAAATAATACATTATCAATTAGATAATTGTTGTTTTTCATTTTCAAATACGGAAATAATTAATGAGTACATAAAATAAAACTTTGACAGATGGTTGCAAGAATGGAAAAGTAATAGTTTTTTAGTGTTTCTCTCATGCCACTACATAAAGAAAAGTTTTAAAATATAGCATATTTATGATGCACGGGTAAATATACGCTTCCATCTGTATAAGTAGTAATTTTAAATTAAAAAAACTAACGTTGTCAGTATAACATCAAAATCAGATAACATTCCCCTTGCTAGATCAAAGCGAAACTGTTTTCGCTCTTCCATGCTACCATAATACATAAATACTCGCAACTGTGGACACCATCGTGAAAATTCATTCTTCCAATTATCTGTAACATGAAAAGTAAGTACTATTAAAACGTTGATTATATATGCTTTTGAGCGTTGTCGATAGGGATAACTAAAGGGGATTCTCCCCATATGGAACCATTTCTGCTATAGTCAGTGTCATAACTTCAGAGCATTTAGTACTTTCCTTTAAAAGTTTAATGTATGGAAAAACACAGTTAACTGCAACTTAAAAAGAAACGACACTATTCATATACATAAATTTGACCTTGACGTTTTGTTATTCATTTGATTAAATAGTGTTTTAAGGTCAGAAAGTGTTTCGTTTAAAAGAATTTATTTTATAGTAGAGCTAATAAATTACATTTTTATCATCTCTCTAAAAAATACATTTAAAATAAGTATATTATTTTTTTTAATATAAGTAGGTGTCTTAAGACAATGCTTATTGTTGTGGGCATTAATGCTTGAAGAACAAGTGCATATGCAGATAAATTAACACCTTAACGACCGCATTCGTAAAGCCAAATATGACCCCACGAATCGGCAAATTTTTATTTGAAATACAAGTTAGAAACATAAAAAACATTGTTTCATAAAATCTGCAATTTTTTTCTTTAACTCCAAATATTGTTTTTGGGCGTGCAATATCTGGATAACACGCGGTCTGTGCGCTTAATTTCAAATACTGGGACCGCGAGCTAACTGCCCATATTGTGCTCATTATCTTGAGCACAATATCACACTCACCAAATGGGAAATATCAAGAATAAACGGGGAAATGAAGCAGAAAAACCCCAAGTCATCATTGACTATATTAAATCTAAAGCCTACATTGACATGTCACATTAAATAAAAGCCTACGTGTCTAAAAAGAGGAACTAAATGGTATATAAAACTAGCACCTGAAATCAGTTTTGGTTCAGCACTGGTAAACGCTTTTATAGTACCTATATAAAGATTTTACATTAACTAAAAAATTGATCACAAAGTTCAAAGAACTTTTAGCCATGGCTTTAGTCACCATTCAGCCAATTGATGACCGGAAGAATAACACAGTTTGAGATTTACAGAAAAAAGCCATTCGATGTAGACATTTGCTATATTAGAACCAAAACTCAACATGGACGGATCGCAGCTCAGTAATGCGCGAGATCCAAGTATAAGTGTGGAGTTTGTAAAAAGATTATTGTTTAGAATGTTTTTTTGTCATTCAGCCAAAAAATTAAAATATTTTCCTATAAGTGTAAGGGGTTAAAGAAAAGGTCCTTTATTTCTCACAAGTCAATTTAATTGGCGACCGGTTTCGAAGCTGTCACTTCATCATCAGGCACACCTAAATGGAATGTCAAGGAGTCACTTGTAATAAAAAACAATTATAAAAGCATGAACGGACTTTAACATATACAAAATAACAGAAAAAACACAAAAGAAGTTAAACAATAACCTTGACTCACCTTGACTATTTCCATAAAGGAAGCGCTACATAAAGTTTAACAAAACGAGTTAAAAAAGTCATATGTAATACAATAGTATTTTTTTAAAAAATATTGTAGGTTAGGTTAAACCGCGAGATGTCTGTTTGAATAAATTAATTAAAACACATGTAAGACAATTATTAACTAAACAACACATATATAAGAGTATTTGCATTTCTTTATGAAATAAAGTATTTTTTCTAAATAATGTTCTATATTTAAATTACATGTAGATCAGTAACTATACAGCTACTGAAAAATCACAACACGAGATAAATAATGACATCTCAAATATTTGTACACACATTCAAATAGTCCATGATTATTAATCAAGAAAATAATCTATTAAATTCTATTCAAATTGATTTGATTAATGAAGTCATTGATGCTGCTAATATAATAAATAAAATAAATTTAAATGAAAAACTCCTAAATGTCTTACATTTCAATATTAGGAGTATTAAAAAGAATTTTGATGAGTTGTTAGTATTTCTAGAAAGTTATAAAATTAATTATTGTGATATAATAGTTTTGACTGAATGTTTCCAACTAGAATCTATTTCTCAATTTAACCTAGATGGCTTCACCGCCCACTAAAATAATGGTAACATTAACAGAAATGATGGTGTTGTAATTTTGGTCAGGTCAAATCTAAATGCATAATTAAATATAGTTAAACTGGAATATTCTGATATTTGTGTCACTAAAATAAATCTAAAAGTCAATCATCGGACCATTGGCATTACAGGTCTCCTCAAACATCTGCACAAGCATTTATAAGGGATTTAGAAAATTTCATACCAAATCACCTAAATAGAAATATTGAAATATTCATAGGGGACATTAATATTGATCTCCTAAATGTAACCAATCAAGTAACTACTGATTACCAAGCAACTTTTTACTCCCATGGTTTCATGTCTTACATAAACACTATTACGAGGCCACAAAGTAAAACATGCTTGGATCATATATTCTTAAAAAACAATCTTAAGACTGAAAATCTATCGGTGAACTCTTATGTAATCAGCTATGATATGACTGATCATCATCCAATTATGATAAATATCTCACAATCTGCCAAAAACTACACAAGTTTCTACAATACATATAAAACTATAACTAAAATCGATACTGATAAATTAAAACAAAAATTCGAAACTGTAAACTGGGAAAGTGTTTGCAATGAAAATAATCCAGAAATTGCAACACAACTTTTTTATGACACGTATCTTAATATCATGACAAACCACTCAAAATATTAAAATTAAAATCCATAAAAAAATAAAGCCATGGATAACAAATGGTTTAATTAATTCTATTAAAACTAAGGATAAACTTAAAAAAGATCTACAAAAAAAACTATACTATTAACAAACAAACTCACTATAAAACATTTAGAAATAATTTAAACAAACTAATATCAAAAACTAAAAATGACTATTATAACAATAAAATAAACCAAAACAAAAATGATCTGAAAAACACTTATCAATTAATCTCTGAAGCAACTAATGAAAATCATAAAAAAAATAATACTAATTTACAGATTGTTAACCAACATAATGAGGAATTTGAAAATGATAATGAAATGGCGAATTACTGCAATAACTACTTTTCGACTATTGGCACTAATATGTTCCAAATATCCCTGAATGTAATGCGGATTTTCCTGTGTCACTGAAAAATCAATGTTTCTGAAACTGATATGAAATGTGTGAAAGATAGACTGACAGATTTTTTTAAAACTAATGACTTACTTCCCAAGCACCAATGTGGCTTTACTGAGGGTCTTAACTCAGGAGATGCTATGCATGAATTGATTTCATATGTTACTGATGAAATGAATACTGGTAACAAGTGTATTTCTAGATCTAGGAAAAGCATTTGACACGGTGCCACATCAGAAGCTCTTGAATGTTCTTGAAAAAATGGAGACACAGACAACAGAAGGTAAAGGTCAGAGACAATGTGAGTAACCCTGAACATATACAAATCGAAGTGCCTCAAGGGACTATTCTGGGACCTATACTATTTAATTTATACATTAAAAGCTTAACTCAGATTGATATTCAAGGTAAAGTTGTATCATATGCTGATGATACAGTGCTAGTCTTCAGTGATAAAGATTGGGAAGCCGTCAAGACATGTGCTATAGCTGGAATGGAACATGTCAAAAACTGGCTGGATGTTTTTAAATTGTCTTTGAAAGTTAACAAAACAAACTACATTGCTTTTTCAAAGACTGGCTGATCGACCTCAATTTAGAAGCTTAACATGTCAAAATTTAGACATACAGGAAACAGAACCATCCAAATATGTAGGTATAATTATAGACCAGCACTTAAAATGGGACTGCCATATAATATATAGGTATATAGCAAAAAAAACTTACGATTTCTGATTTATAAATTTTATCTTCTAAAACAATTTCTCAACCAGGATCTACTAATAACATTATTCTACAGTCTAGTAGAATCTATACTACGGTATGGAATCTTAGTATGGGTAGGCCTGCATGGAACTACATTAAATTGTGTCCCACCATAACTTTATATAATGAAAAAATTAGCAATGTTAGATGTTTATATATTCACGCAGTGTGTTGTTATATACAAAAAAATGAATTTTTAAAAAACCCTTTAGAACATAAGACATAACCCTAGAACTGCATCGAACATGCCCATTAAAGTACCAAAACCAAATAGTGAGTTTTTTAAAAACACTGTAAATTATCTAGGGACAAAGTTCTCTAACGCTCTACCTCTTCATATAAAATTATTAAACAAATATAAAAAATTCTGTCAAGTTAGCAAAATATACATTTTCCAAAATAATGCAAAGTTTATCAGAATATTCCAAGAATAACGGACTTAATACATGGATTTTTTTTAAATAGTTTTTTTTTCTGTTTCTTGCATAAATTGTTCCAAGTTTTATTTTTTATTTTTTTTTCTTCATAATTCATTAAATATAATTAAAATAAAAATTTAATTTTTGTCAGCACATACAGGTGTTCTCACCTAGGTGCTTGTTATTATATAATTGGTTTCCATTATTGTACTTTATTGTAACTTATTTATTATTGTAACTCATTGTAACTTATAGTTAGCACACGGTTATTAAGGTGTTAATAATTATTGAATTCACTTTTCCCTAATAGAATTGTATAACCTGCGCTTAAAATAGTATATCCTTAAATTACACTCCTACAATTTTTAGTTCCACCAATATATTTAATAAGTTCCATTAGATTTAATTATATTTCAGACAACTTACGAAAAATAGAATTAAAGCATTAATATTTTATCAAAAGTAGAATTTAAAACAACAAAATTTATTAAGGGCATCTACTAACCAAATGAAAATATTAACTTTAATTTTAAACTAAAGCTATATAAGTAAATTCAATATAATTCTGGAAAAAAGGTGTCTTGTTTCATCTAAAAAGCATAATATAAAACAATATATATTCAAAAGACCGTTTGGAAGCACATATAAACATCTAAAAATATACATTTTTTAAGGTGTAATTAAGTTCATGTTCAGAGGGCGCTGCGATCTTAATTTTTTAAATGTAAATACATCTCTTTAACAAAGTACTGCTCAATTAGCCAAGAAACTAACTATATTAGAAGTTTTTTTTAGATAAGGTAGCAAATTAAATATAATGTATAAATCAAATTTACCCAAAGTTGAAGAAGGCACTATTACAAGATGTGTACTGGTAGCTGCCCCAGTTTCTTTTAAGTGAGCGAGAAAAGCTATAATTTGTACAGTTTTTCCTAGTCCCATTTCATCAGCTAAAATCCCATTCACTCCTTGAGAATACAACACTACCAGCCAATTAAGTCCCACCATTTGGTATCCGGTTAATTTCAGACTGAAAAGGAAAACAGTTATACACAAACCATCCCATTTGTTCCCCATATTATTAGTTTTTTGTTAAAAATATTGCTTACGATGAAGATAAAATCGGAGGTTGCTCTTTTACGCCAGCGCCAGCAGCCACGGCTCTTTCCAATTGTTGTGCCAAATTTGAACATTTTTTCATTAAATGCTTAATATTGTTCCGCGTCGCTAAAACTTGCTGAGCAGCATTTAATAAATCGCCACTCAAGTTTTTATTAGTTTGCAGTTTATCTACCTGGAAAGAAAAAGGCTTACTGTCAAAGAAAGGTGAGAAAATCAGTTTAAATCCGAAAACTGAAAAAAGCAATTTTTGAAAATGTGAAAATATAATCCTCAATTCCCCATACGAAATTACGAAATGTATCTTCTCATCTCAAAAGTGAAAAACAAACCAAACAAAAACTGATGAAGGTGCAAAAAAAAAAAGAAAAATGATTGCTTCGACCAGGGATAGAACCTGAAACCTTTGAGTATAGACATCTGTTCCTCTACCAATTGGACTACCCAACAAAATAGCTATGATAGTCGAATTTGTAGATTTAAAGTTATAAGATTCTGATGTCCTCATTTTTTTCTTTTTTGTATCTCTCAGCTTTTTAATTTTTCTTTGATTTGTTTTCACCTTCCGTTTTCTCATCTATGTAGTCTAGTCCGTTCAGACACTTGCAGGTGTATGGGTATCATGTCAGTTATCACCCGAATTACTTGCAGTGAGGTTGTTTTGTTCTTGTTAGCAACCCTCAGTGCTATTTTCCTTCGGGTCTTCTACATTCTTTTTCTGCAAGTTACCATTGCCTGTGCTTTGTATAACAAGATGGAGTGTATTACTCCACTTAGGGCTTCCCTTTTACTTTCCGCCTTGCTGCTTGCCATCTCAATGTGCTTGACACAACTCCCCACCTCGCCAAGCATAATTTCTAGATACTTTGGTTGTCTTTGTGGTTTGAGCTGCGTTTCTTCCTGTGGGAAACGTGGCTTCTCTGTTTACTTTTTTCCACGATCCTTTCAACATTACTACTTCCGTTTATTTTTTCAGAGGCTAATGTCAGTGTGTAGTCCTTCATCCAAATCATTACATAAGGCTAGCTTGCTCTGCTCTTTATTTCAGCTGCTGTATAATACAGAGTGTTATAGACACGCAAACAAGTTTCAAATAAAAGTTATATGAATTTAAACAATTTTAAAAATATTTTTTATATACACAGGGTGTTGCGAGTTTGCCTGACAAATAAAAATGTATATTTTTTAAATTGAACACCCTTTATTTTATTTCAGTTTTAGAATCGTTTGGTAATAATGTATTTAACCCTAGAATGTTTCTTCAAAATATTACAGACTTGCCAAGCAATTAATTTTTTTATAAAATTAGAGAATGATGTATAAATTATCATAATTTAGGTAGGTTTGCATTGATTTCAAAATTGTTTAGTACATAGACCAATAAGATATTACGCTAACGAATACTGGTAATAGAACTGGTTTATTTTATAGATAATGATGTATAAATTATCATAATTTAGGTAGGTTTGCATTGATTTCAAAATTGTTTAGTACATAGACCAATAAGATATTACGCTAACGAATACTGGTGATAGAACTGGTTTATTTTATACAGAGTGTTTTGAAACGTCTTAAATATGGCTAATTTTAAGTTCAATTTACTCAATTTTTTCAAATGCAACACCCTGTATATTATTTTAGCATAAAATTCCTTATGAATTTACCTATTTAACGATAACAACATGTTAGTCAATAACACATATACCATGAGTGCGTAATTGATCTATTCGCTCAGTGCGAAGTCATGGAAAGGGAAGCAAAAGCGATACTAGTGCTAGCTGCGGATAATTCGTGCATTTTAGGGCGATATTTTCTAATTTTGGCATATCAAATACACGTATACATTTTACTTTTTTCAAAAAAGAAGGTAAAAACAATACAATAAGCAACTCCGGTTGCTGTGTAGAAAATTGTAAAAATACTACCAAAAAAAAAACAGTGAAACTTATATAAAAAATTTCAGTAGCAAAGTGGAAATTAAATTAAAGAAATAAATGAATAAGTGTACAATAAGAAGAAAAATTACCTTTATTTTTGTTATAATAACAGTAATGCTGGAAATAGTAGACATCAGATACTTGAAAGGTTTTAAGTAAACAATAAATTATCATTTTAGAATGTTCTTTAATATCCCTTTATTCTTAAATGTTCATTCAGCAAGGACTAGATTTCAAGATTTCTGCCTTTGATTATTATATGTGGCTGGAATGCAATTTTGTGACTTACTGATGGGAAACCAGTTTTAATCATTCATTCTATGTCTTCTTTCGAACAAAAATGAAAATATAAATAAAGATCCTTTTTTTATACATTTTAACTTCACGCTATTAGTAAATGGTTTTTTTTATTTTGACAGAATAGGCAACTTCTCATACATTTTCCGGTAAATACTGTTGCCTGCCTATATTTTATTATTGATTTTTATTGATTATACATAATTTTCTTTAATTTAAGCGATAAAAATATATAATAAAAAATTAATGTTTTACTTGTTTTACAAATCCATATACTTTTATTAAAACTAACATATATACTTTTTAATTACGAATTCTATTAAAAATTGTATTTGTCAGTATACGCAGAAATAGTCCATTAGTACCAAAACGAATTGGCGCTGCTGTCGCGCACGGAGCGAATAGCCGTTTTAATATTGGAAATATAAAAAAAATAATATAAAAATTATATGACCATATTTGATTGTTTTCACATTGTCAAATAATTTTAATTGACTTCATTCATTTACTATGTTGTATCAAAACGCGAGGTTATCATTTTCTCAATTTATTAAATGGTATTAATTAATTGGTGGTATAACATACAGGATATTCCAATTAAAAAATTGTGAAAATCGTAACCTCGCCCTGACACACCCTATATACACAGCAATTAATTGAAGTATATTAAAATTGTTTAATGATGTGAAAACAATCAAATATGTATAACTACCTGCAGGGTATTTTGCTTTAAAAATGTATAGGTTTGGTCAGCCCCTTATTTACGGACCACCCTGTATATTTGAGAATAATTGTTAAATATGGCCATACAATTTTTATATGATTTTTTTTTTATTTCCAATAAATAAACAACTATAGATCAATTATGCACTGATGGTACACCCTGTATATGTGTAATTGGCTAACATGTTGGTATCGTTGACTAGGTAAATTCATAAGAAATTTTATGCTAATATTATATACAGGGTGTTGCATTTGAAAAAATTAAGTAAATTGAACTTAAAACTAGTCATATTTAAGACATGTTTCAAAACACTGTGTATAAAACCAGTTCTATCACCACTATTTGTTAGCTTAGGATTTTATAAGCCTATATATAAAAAAATTATGAAATCAATGTAAACCTACCTAAATTATGATCATTTTTTTTTGGGGTCTGCTTTGTTCTCTAATTTCATTAAAAAATTAATTGCTTGGCAAACCTGTAATATTTTAAAGAAAAATTATAGGGTTGAATAGTATTACCAAATCATTCTAAAACTGAAATAAAATACAGGGTGTTATTTTAAAAATATACATTTTTATTTGCTAGGTAAAAAGTTATATCCAAAAATATTTTTAAAATACATATTTTTTTTTAAACTTATTTGCGTCTCTATACCATAAATTGAAATATTGAACAATTACGCACTAATGGGACACCCTGTATATCCGCCCTTCATCAAGATCGCTAGGTAGTCGTTTTTGTTCCTTTGCTTCGGTTTAGCTTTAATAACCCTTTGTATAAGATGTTCCACAGAGTAGGTCCCAGCACGGATCCCTGTGGGGCCCCATTGCACAATGGATCTAATCCAGCCATACTCAACCTGCAGCCCTCCAAGCTGTTTTATGCGGCCCTCCAAGCTTTTTTGTGCAGCCCCAAACACGATTATTAGTAATTGAAATGGTTGACTTACAGTCCTGTCCTTGCGACTGTTCAAAGCTTATTAAAACAACTAAAACAACACGAGGACCTTTTTTTTAGAAAGTATGTAAACAAAAACAATTAGAGGACCTTTTTTTTTAGAAAATATTTAAAGCGGATCCCTTATTTGCATTTCAAAAAGGTGGCAACTCTAGTTATAACCCAAAAATAATGTGGCCCGTGTAGCATAACAAACAGAATTATGTGGCCCGAAAGAAAAAAAGGTTGAGTACAGCTGACCTAATCGGAAGTAGCCTCTGTTCGATTTTATAAATAAAAATGCAATCCTTAATAAGAGACTTTTGATTGGCATCCAATTCAAAGTTTCAAGTATTAGATTAATGGGAATATATTTTGAACAAGATATTATTCACATTGTCCTATCCTGCAGATTCTTCAGTCAGTTCAACTAATTTTGATTTAGAAAAAATAGTGTTGTGAGATAATATACATTTAAATAAGGATAATTTCCTGACAGTAGCAGAATTTTATATAAATATAAATTTAGTCCACTGTGATAAGCCAAATGAACTTCTATATAGGAAATTTAACTTAAATGCAATACTTTTAATAACAGTGTAGAATTTCCTTCAATTGTGATGTTATATTGTTTATTAACAAACTGCACATAGTTATAGTTATTACCAGTGGCGGCTGGTGTATATGTGCTGCAGCACACAGTAAAATCACAGGAAAATAAGATAGATTTAAGTAAAAGAATATTTACAATTTTCTTTTTTAAAATTATTCATTTAGGTACCTATCTGAATAAAAAGTAGATTGACGCGCGCTTAAGTGTCTGCGATAAACGTACCCAATCTTAAATACCGAACGCATAGGTAGGCATTGTATATCACGAGGCAGATTCGGCCAAGTTCGGCTACGTGTGCTATTTGAATTTCAGCTCAACACTCGCCGCATCTCTGCGGATTCCGCTCCGCCCGCTTGCTTGTTTTTAACCGTTGATTTAAATGGACAGTGGTGCTGCCCAAAGTCAAGCACACGGCTGGAGATTTCCGTTTGTTGTTGCTGCGGCTGTCGAGTTCAGATGCTTACGTTGAATTTAGTAGCGAGACCGTTTGCGCTAGTTTAGTTTGATTTACTTAGTTGTCGCAAGTAGTTTTTCTAATAATATTTCGTGTAAAATGAATCAGGTTTCATATTTATTGGCGAATCCATTTGTGCGTTTTTCTTTGCAGGATAAAATCAGAGTTAAAGAACTTGGTCGACCTACTCCAACCCTTAAAATAACACAGGATGCGAAAAGCAAAAGTTCTACTTGCAAGCGCCAATTTCACGTAAAAACATATGAAGAAAATAAGTGGATTTGTGGATGTGAGATAACAAATGCACTGTTTTGCTTTCCATGCTTGTTGTTTGGCGGTGAAAATTCCTGGAGCAAATTAGGTGTAACGGATTTGGGACACTTAAGCAATTTAATTAAAAGACATTCTCAAAATAAAACACACCTAATTACTGTTTTAAATTTAGCGAATATAGGTAAAGTGAATATTGCTACTCAACTTGACAGTGCTTACCGAATGTCAATTCAAAAGCATAATGAGAATGTTGAGAAAAATAGGTATATATTAAGCAAAATAATCGATTGCATTAAGTTTTGTGGTGCATTCGAATTAGCTCTACGTGGGCACGACGAAAAAGAAGACTCTTTAAATTTAGGCGTTTTCAGAGGTCTTTTGGATCTTATGGGCAGTGTCGATTCGGCGATAAAAGATCATTTTAGCAGTGGAAGTGCGTTCAAAGGACATTCGAAAACAATACAGAATGAACTTTTAGACTGTATGTTAGAGGTCTGTCAAGATGAGATACTACAACAAATTCATGTCTCCAAGTTCATTTCTATTATAATAGACGACACCACCGACATTTCCGGCAAAACACAGACTTGCATTGTCGTGAGGTATTTTTACAAAGGAAAAATCTATGAGATTCTGGTCATTTGTCAATCCGTGTGGACAGGACGCAGAGGCTATATCTCAGGTAGTTATAGACGCTTTAAATGTCATGGTTAAAACCAACGTACAAAAAGTTATTTCCCAAAGTTATGACGGAGCAGTTGTAATGTCTGGAAAAATCAATGGGGTACAAGCAAAAGTCAGAAGCAAGTCTGTCAATGCATATTATACTCATTGTTACGCACATCAACTAAACTTAATTATGTCTCAGAGTGCATCAAGCAATAAATCAGCCAAAGTATTTTTTGCAAATATGTCTGCTATTCCAACATTTTTTTCAAATTCCCCTGCACGTCTATCAGCATTAGATGAATCAATTGCTCGTAGAATACCATCTGTTTGTACAACTTGATGGAATTACCAATCAAGGGCTGTAGATGTTGTTTTTCAAAATCGTCAAAAACTGATCGAATGTTTTGAAGAACTCCAGAATTCTTCTTCCGTTGAAACTGTAAGAAAAGCGAGTGGCTGTCTACGACTTTTGGAAGACTTTGATTTTAATTTTTGGTTAAACTTTTTCCATCGTCTAATGCCACACATCGATATTTTATTCAATCAATTTCAGTCGCGGATTCATGTTGCTCTACAATAAAAAAAAATGTAGACACATTTTTGAGTATCATCGAGAAAGTGCGAGGAGAAGCAGATGATATTTTAAAAGAGGTTTCAGAAGACTCGAGTGTGTGCTCCACAGCGCGGAGAAGAAACGAAGACTCTAAAATCCGCGATGCAATAGAAGTTTGTGATATTCTTTCTACACAAGCAAAGAACAGGTTTGAAAATACGGACTACGTCGATATTGCAGAATTGTTAAATTGTAATCATTTTACTTAATCTTTTCGAAAAAAACTTTCCAGAATCTAAACTTACTTTGGCTGTAAATCGCTATTCCTTTTTAAACAAATGTAAACTTAAAATTGAGCTAATGGTGTTATATGAAAGACCAGATTTCAGAAATTTTTCTGGTCTCCTATCACTTTTAAATTTCTTATATGATAACGACTTAGATGATTCATTTGATGAGGTAATAACATTAATTTGAATTTTGGCTATAACACCCATATCCATGGCAGAAGCAGAGCGTTGTTTTTCGACTTTAAAACGAATTAAAACTTTTGCGAAACACTATGTGGAAACAGGACAGGCTTAATGCTTTGACAATGTTATCAGTAGAAAAAGAGCTAATTCATTCTATTGAAAATTTTAACACGAAAGTCATAGAAAAATTTGTGAATAAAAAAAATAGGCATATGGAGTTTGTATACAAAACATAAATTTCAATAAGTTTAGGCACTTCAAAATGCTTTTTCTGTTCTTTTATGTGTTTGGTTTAGAATTTTAAGAGTTTGTTTCTTATGAATAAAAAAATTACAATAAAAGAGGTTCTCAGTAGAGTCAGTTTTTTTTTGTATTTTCTACTTTTAGGTACCTGTATTGGAAAATTATCAAATTAATTCAAAATTGCGCAGCACACAGCAATAAATTGCCACGAGCCGCCACTGGTTATTACTTATCTGCATACATTTTGTTTTATTTGTTGATTTTTAAAAAATTATTTTAACACCATTTATAAATATTTTTCAGAGTTTCATTAACAACTCTTACGAAGTTATCTGGATCCTTACAAGAAAAATATATAAGGACATCATCAGCAAACAGGCGAATATCATTGACCATTCACATCAACAATGTCAGCTATATAAACTAAAATAACAGGGGACCTAATATACTTCCCTGTGAAATATGTTTGATATAATTTATTTCTTCTGATAAGATGTTATTTACTTTTAACCTTCTTTTCCTGTTACTTATATAATATACACACCACTACAATGTTTTTTATTTTTTTATCAAACAGTATTGATGAACAGTTTTACATGCCCTTCGAGATCTATAATAACTGCCAAGGTAAGATGGTTTAAAAAAAAAAAAAATTGTATTTCTAGCCATTTAAAACACAATAGCCGATTCACAGTTATGCTTGCTTCTGAAGCCCAATTGTATTCTAGTTAATAAGTTTATTTATTCCTTATTGTAAACTTCTCTCTTCACTTGAAAGGGACATTTGTAGGTAGAGAGAAGGTACACATCAAAAGTTGTGTCTTAGACAAGCCAACGTCATGTTAGAATGGACAAAAATGGCCAAGTTTGTTATCAATAGTGTTTGACAGTTATTATAAATCTGAATAGATATTAATTTTTGACATTTTTCAACTAAATAAACCGAAAAAAAACTAACAACTCCAAAACAATAATACACATGCTTAGATTAACATTTTTGTTGTTTTTCCCAACCGTCCACCATTTAAAGTCTAATGATTATTGGGTTGTCCTTTTTTGGTAATTTTTCTCAAGGATGTTATTTGTTGTTGATATTGGTAAATAGAGTGTTTTTACAAATTTTATTTTATGGGAGACTTCTTAAAAAATACGTAATACTTACCAAGTCAATCCAGCCGGTGAATGGCCGGATTTCTATAATCGCTTCTGCTTTCCTTTTGGAACAGAAATTCATTAATTGCAATTCATTACAGTTGGCAGTTTGAAAGAAATCCAAAACTCGTTTCTTATCACCAGTCAATTCATTGCTGATTTCAACATCAGAGTCTTCATCACTGAAATATCAATTCATTATGAATTAATAATGTAGGTACGATTAAATTCATTCATATCTAAGTCAAATACCACTGTTTTTTAAACCTATAAAATAAAATATTTGGTATGTCTAGATTTTGGCACATCTTTTTCAGATTATCCTATTTTTTTTTTTTTTACTGAAAATGATGTAATAGGCGATAAGCCTCATTTTTTGATATGTGATGTTTTGTTTATGAATTATTAAGAAAATAAAAATATATAGTGACCCATTGCCTTGCAGAAATATTAATTCTTCTAAGAAGTGTATTGGTTAAGAGGTAGGGGAATTAGAGAATGACATACGATGTCATTTTAACTGCAATACCCATTACCAAAATCGTTTTATGTTGTGTCAAATGTACTTTATTCATTTATTCAGATTATTATCCAAATGGTATTACATAATCTTTTAATAACTTACCTATCATATACTCTCTTGTCTTTGTAACTGTTACTACCAGTACTGTCATCACTATCATAAGATCTCCTTCTTTTAACTGAAATTAAACACTCCTTATTTATGTTTGTTTTGTAATTTAGCATATTGGTATTGTTGACTATTATACACAACTCGAATAATGAAAAAGGTGACACCTGTATTTTGTTTTAATTATATAACTCAAGTTTTTGTAAAAATCATTGAAAATATTACCACTTAAACACATTATTTACTTTTATAGTAAGCCAGAACAAATTAATATATTTTCACAACCTTATGACTGCTTACTGGTTTTTACTACACATACATACCTTTTCTTTTCTTAGTAGATTCCTCCCTTTCCCTTTTTACACTATGAGTTCTAACAAACAAGTTTGTATTCGCTATTTCATTTTGTTTGGCCTCCTCAGCTTTTTTCTCATAGTCTTGCCTCCATTGGCTATAACCATAATCTACAGGCTTATTATAATTTCTAGACAATTCAGCTGCTGCTGCATCTGTATTAAAACTATGTCTTGAGAGGCAGTCATGGATTTTCTGAAAAGAAAAATATGTTTTCCAAATTCAAAAATTATTACTATTACCATTTATAATCACTAACAATCAATATTATCTCAATTCATCTTTTACAATAAGACTTAAGACAACTGAGGCAAATAATTCTAACCAGAATCATTTTAAAATTCTTTAGGTAATGTTGTAGTTGAAGGGCCTTGAAAAGCGCCTGTGCACACCATTCCTGTTCCGGCTAGTTCTGCCAGTTGGAATCGTTACATAGTTGCCAGGTTATATTTAATTATTTGGAACCAGGGAATAAGCAGATTGAAATAACTATTTAACTTTTAATCATCTATTTACCAATTTTTACATTGATTAAAAAACCCATAAAAATAAAAAAAATGTCTGAAAATTTTCAAGTAATATGATCACTATTTTTAATGTCAATAATACCTTTCAATAGTGATAATTACAAAATTTAAATTTAAAATCTATCAAAACTGTTTTATAAAACAAAACAGAATTCTTATTTCAAAATATAATATAAATATTTATATTTGTCTTACATTTTAATGTACAGAGGTTACTATTTGGTTAAAAAAATAAACTATGAAATTTATTTTAGCAAGCTAAAATGAAAGCGGAGATTTAGCAACGTGGCTTGTATTAAATTCAAATTCTGCACATTTTTAGACCCGTCAACTACATCATTACCATTCTTTAATATGAAAAAATAAAGAACCATAAAAAGACAAAAGACACATTTCTATAAAATTATAAACAGGAAGTAAACACCGTTTAAAATATAATGTCACATGTAAAATATATAAAAAAAGGAAATTATTTAGTGTTATTAGATATTGGTTGGACAAATCAGGACAGATAGATTAGTATTATAAAATAAAATTATCATTAATATTATTTCTACATTCATCAAGTAAAAATATACATACATATACAATAAATATAAATGCCAAAAAAGGCTGCAGAGTACCTAGGAAATTTTAAATTAAAACCATATTTTTGGCTATTTTAATCTCTATTCAAATATTTTATGCTCCTCATTTTTTACCAAAATCAAGGTGCTCTGCTAGCTTAGAACGAATCCAACAGAGCATATCAGGTTTTTAAAGCTTTTTTTCTAAAAACAACCACACCACATTTTTTAAGCATAAGTTTCAGAAAAAAAAAATAATAAACAGAGGTGCTCTGCTGACTTTGTGCCAACAAAGCCCCTTACTTATTATTTAAAAATAGCAATTGTTTAGTAAAGTTATATAATATTTCAAGAGCCTAAAAATAACCCAAACATTTTGGTAAGGTTGTTTATAGAAAAATGCTTTAAAAAACCGAGGTACTTTGCTAGATTTGTTCAAAGCTAGCAAAGCACCTTGTATTTTTTTAAAAATACTAATTTTTTTCGAAAAGTTTTATAATATTCCAAGTGCCCAAAAATAACTTAAAAATGTGACATAAGTAATTTTCATTAAAAAAATTAATAAACTGAGGTGCTCTGCTAGCACGCTGTATTATTTAAAATTAGTATTTTTTTAGTAAAGTTATATAATATTTGAAGAGCCTAAAATAGGGTGATGTTGTTTAAAAAAAAAAGCTTTATAAAACTGAGGTGCTCTACTGACTTCGTTCGAAGCCAGCAGAGCAGTTTGATTTTTGTAAAAAACGAGGAGCATACATTTTTTGAATAGGGTATAAAAATAACCTAAAAATATGGCATAGGTTTTAAGTCAAAATTCCTTAGGTGCTCTGCTGCCTTCTTTGGTATTAATTATAATTATTGTGTATGAATTATTCAAGTAAATTCTGCTCTGATTAATCTTATTCATTTCTATCATAATCTAAAAATGAAACAATAAGTTTATGGTAACCAAAATAGGATACAAATACTTTTGATTCAAATCTATTTTGTAAATATCTATTTTACTAAAGTGATTTGGATGTTTGGCAAATTTTGTAATCAATTTGATTCATTTGAAAATTAAATGGTTTATAGGAATTGCATTTTATTGTTTTTTTTTTATATATAAACAATAAATGAACACAAAAGAATACAAAATATACATTCACTGTCATTTCCAAAAATTATGCAATGAGAAAAATTGACCATTGACCATGAATTTGCTTGTTAAGCAATATCTAGCAATGCGAAATGGGTGTTAAATAAGAACATGAAAAGTAGATTGCAGGTCATGAAAATAAAATACATGAGAAGGTGAAAGGTAATACAAAAATGGAAATAGAATTGTTATTGAATAGATTAGTTATAACTACAGCAAATGAGATGGTTTAGCCATATTATGAGAATGAAAGAAGGCAGGTGAACAAATATCGCAGGCTTAGACATTTGAAGAAAAGCAATAGAACAAAATCTAGTGTTGTGGATTTGACAGGTCAATTTTTTTTGTTAATTAAGTAAAATAAATTAAAAAATAAAATACATCAAAATCAATATTTTATTTTCACATTTAAAGAAAATTAAAGATATTAAACTTAATCTAAAACAGAAAATTTTAATTAGCTGATTGATGAACATTAACATTTAACATTGGAACAATTTGAATGCAGAATAATGATGCAATGAGTGCTTGCAATTTACATTAAGTAAATAATTTATTAAATTCTCAAAACATACAATTTAAGTATAATTAATTTTGAAATTTTGTTTGTTGGACATGCACCCAATTCCTTACATGCCTAGGCAGCTTTGCCTGTATGCATGTAAGGGTTGAGGCTCCTTCAACGATATAATGTACCTAAACATGTAATTAATTAAAGACAATTATGAAAAAAACAAAAAAAAAATATGTTAACCTAACCTAACTTGACATTAGTGAAATATTGAAATAGAATCACAATTTATAGGGAAAATAAATGTCAAGAATTAATACCAGAAATGTGTGTTTATACAAGGTGGCGCAAAATAAAGTCCCTATTTGTTTTTTATATAAAAGTAAGATTAATTAAAAAACAGTCTTATAATAAATTAAATATATTTATTTAAACTCTAAAAATTTGTTTTGTTATACACTAAAAACAATATCGACCAAATGGCCACCCTCAGCATTAATGCAATAATGAGCTCTTTTTAAAGCATTTTTCATAACCTCCAACATTTCAGGTGGTATTCTGTCAATTTCTTCCCGGATGTTGTCTTTTAATGCTTCTAGTGTTCGAGGATTATTTACAACTACCCTAACTTTGAGATAAACCCATAACCAAAAGTCTGGAACAGTTAAATCAGGAGACCTTGGCGTATATGCAATATCGGCGTTTTTCGAGATAAGGCATTTAGGAAAAATTCTGATAATCGACGAATTATTTTGATAAAAAATTTTTACGATTTCGGCACGTTCTCGGGGCGTATGTCGATTCATGATGAATTTCCCAAGTATCTACTTTGCAACTGACAGAAAAACTCGAACAGATGTCAACTACAAACAAAACCATGACAACATTCCATAGGATACTTGATTTTGTGCCACCTTGTATTTATTAAGTAATATCAAATTATAAAAAAAGGAAGGAGAAGAAATTTACCATAAGGGATGGTGAATGGAATCTGTGGTTGTAGCAGTTATTAATATTTTTGTATTAAGCAAAGTTTAATATTTTGATAAAAATATCACTATTGAACTGCACGAATTTTTTTAATTCAAATTTAAGTTTGCCTTGAAATTTGCTTATTACAATTATATTTTTAAGATCAAATGGGATGGAGTTATATAATTTAGGGTCAAAGAATAAGAAAGTTCTTTGCATGATGGATTTTTTTGTGTTAATATAAAAGTTATTATTAGTTATTGATCTTGTGGAACAGGTATTGTTTAGTTTATATACATTTTTATTATTATGAACTCTAACTATGCATTGGTAAGTATAAATTAAATTTATTTTAAAAATGTTGGTTCAGTGGAATATAGTTTATTTTTTTTAAATATAATTTTTATAGTTGTATTTTGAGTTGCTATTAAAAGTGCCGCCCCATATTACTATGCCGTACCTTATAATAGATTCAATTAGTGAGTGATAAAGCATAAACATGCTATAATATTGATATATTTGATTTTAGATATTTTGCCTGAATTTGACAGTTCAATTGGCCATCTCAAGCACTAGCAAAATTAAATATTAGAAAAATACTTTTTCTTCTGACAATGTGTCAGTAATAGGTGTTTATCAATTATATAGAAAACTGGAAGTACAATAACATACTAAAAATTATGGTTTGATGATAACTTACCATTGCATCCAAATTAGGAAATATTTCTAAGAGAAATTTCATTTGTTTCTCTTTTTCCAAGATGGAGGGATTCTTCACACTTCTTTGATTGTACCCATTATATCTATTACTAAATGCACTATTATTTGCAACAATAACTTGGGAAGCTGGTTTGGAGACCTGAGTTGATGTTAGTGGTGTACTGGAATCGTTCACCACATTAACACTTTGAGATTGAGAGGAGTCAGGGTTTTCTTGTAAAGGTTTTTCATTGCAACTATTTACCACACCACTACTGTGAGATGAAGTCAAGTTTTGTTGAACTGGGGGTTGATTATGATTTTCTTCCAAATTACTACTTGTAGAAGTCACATTTTGTTGAACTGGTGATTTATTAGGATTATCTTCCAAACTGCTACTTGTAGAAGAGTTTGCAATTTGTTGTATAGTTTGATGATTGTAATTATTTGCTATACTATTACTTGGTCTGTCTTCATTTGCTTTTTGTACTTCTGGAGAAAGTACATTCCTTTGTGCTTCCAGATCCGATTCTGAATCAGATGAAATAGTTATGATCCTTCTACGTATTCCGGTTGCTGCAGAATAAAAAAACAAATACATATTATACAAAAGTTTACAATACCAACACGTATTCTATAATTTTAACAACTAACTACTTACATGATTTGAGACCATCATGGGTAAATTGTGATTTCTTTTGATATCGAAAATCTCGAAGTTTCTGTAAATTAGGACTCCCTTCATCAGACATATTTAAATGATCCCTGTTTAAATATCAAATCAACATAAACTTAATTATTTAATTTCCGAAATTTTCAACACCGAATACAAACACCTACCAGCCTAAACCAGTGATGTGTGTAAGAATTTTTTTTAAAGAAACCTTTGACAGTTGGTAACATTGTGCACAAACGTCACATATTCATTTTGATTTAGCGTATACAGAAATATTCTTTTAAATAGGAAAGAGAGGTTCGGTTATTTTACATCACTAGTTTTGTGAGTTCGGTAACCGGTAATCTCATATCTTTGTTCCTCTCTTACTATTTATTAGATTCTTTTTCGCTTTCGTTAACGTGCCACCCTCTATCCAAATCTATGGTCCCACAAGTTTTTTCCAATTTCATAAAAGCTAAGATTAATAATATTATTCCTCGCGCAATTTTTCACAAAAAATTAACTCTTGGTTGATCTCTATAGATTTTTCATTTTTAGTCCTAAATTAAACTTGAAATCTATGTAAAATTTTATGAAGGGCCGATTTCATAATGAATATTAAAAGGTCATCTATTAATGGGACCAATATTTTATATGGTCCCATCCACCAAAGTATGTGGTCCCATCAGTTAAAGGACCTTTTAATTCTTAGAACATATATTTAATTTCCGCGTTTGAGAATCCACATCGAATTCATTTTTTACATCTCGAGCGTTTTTTTATCCACATCGGACACATCTGTCCCATTACATTTGCCGCGTTTGAGAATCCACATCGGATGCATCTGAGATGTAAAAAAATCTTTGATCACGTGATTCAGTATACGTAAATGTAATGGGACAGATGTGTCCGATGTGGATAAAAAAACGCTTGAGATGTAAAAAATGCATCCGATGTGGATTCTCAATCGCGGCAATTTACGTATACTGAATCACGTGATCAAAAATTTACTACATCTCATGCCGCGTTTGAGTATTCTCATCGGATGCATTTTTTACATGAACGTTTTTTAAGCTATTGCATAGCTTTTATCGCGGGCTTTGAGCGTGGCGACCACATACTTTGATTTTCTTTTACTATACGGAGAATATTGAATAGTGAAAGTTTTACCCGATCAAACGAACTTGTGAAGTTCGATCGTAATTATATGAGGCGCTTCGTCCGAATAGATTACTTTATAATAACTTAGTAGTACCGGTTTTCGGTGCTAGATGGCACAACGTTCAAAGATAAAAAAACTTCTTTATCGGTTAAGTATGCTTACCTACTTTACCGATCCCTTTCACACGTCATAAAGTTTAAAGCAATTCAAAATTTGTTTTTCGATGTATACCTACCTGAAACAAATACAAATGGGTTGGGTAAAAATGGGATGGGAAGTAATCTATTCGGACGAAGCGCCTCATATAATTACGATCGAACTTCACAAGTTCGTTTGATCGGGTAATTATATTCGGCGCTTCGTCCGAATAGATTACTTTATAATAACTTAGTAGGCTGTTTAAAGCACAATATATCCCCTATAGTAATGTAACTGGGATTCAAGAAATGGCTTTGAGTTACGCTGCGGCCAGACACAGGTCTCATGGCGCTAGTATCGTTATTGATTTTTGACATCGGCACGTTCATTGGTTGACGACGAATTCAAAACAATCTGATCGGAGCGTTACTCACTCCCACTCCTTCTCTTTGTTTAGATACTTATAAAAGAAAGAGATACCAGTTAATAATTCCTATTTCGAATCATCTTTCATTCTTTAGCGTTGAGTTTTTATAAGTGAAGCGTGAAATGTCAGTGTTGACAAGTGATAATTTTTTCTTCTACGAAATTTAATATTAATTTTGTTTCAGCGATATTTATTATTGTGATTTGTTGTTGTATTAAGTGCTTTCTTATTTAATATGGGAAACAAAACGTACAACAAACTCAGAAAAAGAGTAATCAAGGAGGGATTGCTATCTATGGCTGTCATCCAAGGGTCTGCGCCCTAGATAATACTGTTCCAGTGGGAAAAGCCTTTAAAATTCAAGTATAACAATTTTATGTTTCCGTTTTCCCTTCTTTTAATGTAGGTGCCAATTTTGAGGTAAGTTTGTAATAATTTTTCATATTTTTTCAGTTAATACCTACCCTCTTAATATTATAATTTAACTATGATCTTATGCTTTCCTATGGACACGATTCAAGGAGGGAGTCCTATGGCTGTCATCCAAGCCCTAGATAATAGTTTTCCAGTGGCAACAGCCTTTAAAATTCAAGTATAATGTCCATCTAAACTAAATTTTTTTATTTCACTTATTGATTTTAGCATTTATATACAGTATCGGCTAATGAACACTTTCCAATACGCTTGGCTAGAATCGAAAATAAAACTAAAGAGTTAGCGCATTAGTTCGATCAGGAAACGAATAATATGAATGTTGCCTTGTGTGCTGTGTAATATGAACAGGCACACGGTGTGATGCATCCCCACGTAGCCAGCTGGCTACGTTCATAGTATTCTATTCCTTCTCCCACTAATGCTAACTCTTTGTAGTTTTTACTTGGACATTAGCAAAACGTATTGTACAACATTCGATAGCTGCCACAGTATTATCACAAACATCTCTTAATAACTAAATGATTTCATTTAATAGTTTCTTTTTTTTTTCAGTAAAATGGATATGGCTAGAGTTATCTTCGTCTTTAAAATATATTAAATAAGTTTTATAATTTTTCAAATAAAATACTTTATACAATTTTTTGTTTTTTTACCAGAGCCAATTTTTTTTCAGATCTAACCTCTATAGGTAAAAAATAAGTGATTTAGGTAAAATTGAAAAGTATATTACATGTTGTTTTAAATGTGTTGTTAATCCAAATGCTGCTCTTATTGTAATAGCTAATAATAAAAGAATTAGTATTATTTTTAGCTATCAAAATAAAAATAGCGCCTGGATTTACAGCTCGTTTAATCGAACATGCAATAAATATACTTCTCAATAATTATTGCCGAATGAATATATTTAAAAATTCCCGCCATTCCGCGGCTGAAAATTTACAATTTTGGCGGGAAATTTAAATTTCGCCTTTAAATTATATTTGAATTTACCGCCATATCGAGTTAGTTGAGCGGCCAGACACAGACGCATTCTTGCGCTGCAAACTTAGTGCCAACTCTTTAACAAGTGAGATGCACTACTATAGGGGATATATTGTGGTTTAAAGTTACATTGTTTCAGGCTTAGGAAATGTATCAAGGTTATACAGTATCTTCTTTGATATTTCCTAGAAAAACAAAAGCTATTGTTTTTAAGCCTATGGTAAAAACAAGCAAAAATTTTATAAACAATCTAACCTACTATGTAAACAGAAAAAGTATCTTTTTTAAGATTCTATGATGAGAATGTAAAACAATTAATACCTAATTATTGCTTCTGCAAATCTGGATTCTTCCAGAGGCCTGTTGTAAAAATTTATAAAAGCTTTCCACAGAATGTCTCCTGGAATAAGGCAGAAAATCTAGCAGTACCTACCTATTTATCTGCGTCGCTGCTTTGTCTTTCTTAAAACAATTTGATGTATGTTTTAGGTTCTCACTTTTAGTATGGTGGTAAACTGGCAATTAATAAAAATTCCTAGTTTTCCTGATTTAAGCTTTTCATTAATTAATATAGGTACTCTACCGTTTATGTACGATGCTCTAGCTGAGTAGTAGCGATGCAGATCCTAGAAGATTTTCTACGAGATATTACCAACTCCAACAAATCTTACAAGTTTTAGAATCTTTCTGTTTTGTTTTTATGAGCACTAGAATTAATATTTGGATCAAACCTGTGATTACGATATTTTGTATTTTATTAGTTTGTTTGCATAGCCAGTTATTATCAGGGAAATTAAGATTGTGGTCTTTTGGACTAACTGTTCCAGTGACAACTGTTCTGGTAAATTATTCAAATAATCCAACACTTTTCAAAGATTTCAAGAAAAATTATAACGTGATTTTGTAGGCCTTAACTTAGACATACCTTTTTGTGTGGCATTTTACATTTATATCGGCTTCAATATGTTAGCTTTTAGGTATTAGTAAAATATATTACTAACTACACTAACGAAAGCTTGTTCGTATAGCCAGCTGCGTTTTGTACAAAATTTATTACTTATTTTCTACAAGAATAATTCCACCAGGCCAGACCGCCATGCCCTAAGGGGGGCAACTGTATTGTAAAATATTTTTTGATAGTGAGTTTAGCATTGTATCACCTAGGCCTACCTCGAGTATATTTTTTAGACTAAATCCTTGTTGGATAGTTTCTCCAATCGGTCGCCGATCTGTGGGTGTGCGATTACCTCAAAAGATGTTACTGTTAGAAACCAGGGTTGTGTTGGTCAGTAAGAGACAATCATTATTCCTGAAGACTTATTAATGATAATTTTTCTTAGTACTTAAGACTATTGGAAAAGGAGGAAATGCATAGGTTTTAGTTGGATACAAATATATTTCTAGGTATAGTAGAGGAGTTCCATCTTTTCTTGTTACGTATTTTATTAAATACTGACTTATCTAACTCCCATATTGTTTCCAAAGAAGTCTGACACGTGACCCCTATCTGCTTTATTTTCTACTGAACAAATATAGGTATATGAAATGTAAGTAGAAAAGATGCGCATATAAGTACACTATGCTTGAATCCAGTAATTTTTTGATTCACACCAGCTCCAAATCTTTAGCAAATATAATATATTTATTGTATTAAGTCAATAGAAAATGTATTTTTTATGGTAAATAAATATTATTATAACTTCATCCAGATATTTATGATTTATAGATACCTACTGTCCTTTTTTGTTTACTTACAAAAATATATATCAAGTGGTAGTGGTTATCACACCTCACGAATATATTTGCAAAATTACAATTTTGAGCAAGACATTTTTGGGGCATAATAGAATGCAACAAACTATAAATGATTACAATATGATATTCATATTATTAATAATTGTTATCGTATTCTTCTCCTAGAGCTAAAACTTTTTCTCTTTCTAAAGACTTGATGTATAAACGACTATATATTTTTCAGCTGGCATAGCAGATACCAGGAGATCAATAACAGGAGCAAAAAACCTTATTTTTCATTATTTAATTTTGTGACTGCTTTGAAACTAATCATTTTCTTTTCTTCGGCTAGTAGGTACAATCGACATAAGATTTTCAGTATTTACAACAGTGAAGGCTAACCCTAAAAAATTTATGTTTGCTAGGAACTAAACTAAGTACTTTTTTGAAGTTCATTGTGAATCCAAGATTTTCCTATTATAATTTTAGTTTGTAAAGCATATAATTCTGAATTCGCCATTATTAGACCATCGTCTAAGTAAACTGAACAACTAAATGTCAATTTCTCTTAAAAAGGCAAATGTTTTCATAATTTTACTAATTAAAGATATCTTAAACATTTTGTAGATTTATGAATTGGTATTTGGAAATTAATAGCCATCTTTTAAGTCTGTACACATCGAGATAGCCAACAGAGTGACTGTACTTACATATAAATGAATTTTGTGATAATTTTACGATTCTTTAATCTTCCATTTTGAAATGGTCAGGTAAAATATAGTTAGAATAAATCAATTTTACCACTCCATTTTTTAACTAGGAAAAAAGGGGCGCAATAAACTAATTTTTTGATGCACCCTTGCTCTTTAAGTCCTATAAGAAATTTTCAATTAATGGTTTGTCTTTAATGACAATCTTTGATGAAAAATTGCTATGTGGGGAGTTTATGTGGAGTTTTGTAACAATTCAGGCAATCTAAGGGATTTGGTTTAAGGCTTTTCCATTCAGATATAACATTTTAATTACCCTGCTTTTAAACCTACCTTTAATATTTGTTTTGAGGGTAGCACAGACAAGAATAGTTCATCTTCCTTTTTCTGTGCAACAGAGAAGGGGGTCCCTGTCCAGTTTTTCTGCCTCCCCCTCCCCCTGGTGCAAAATAGGCTCCTCCAGTTTCCCGAAATATTGAAAGCTGGGTTTTTCTGGACTGTTTTTAGAAGTAGTGTTGTAAAAATACATCACGACTGATTTGTCTATTACCTTTTGGGTTTTATATTAATTTCCAGGGTTAGAACCATATTGTATTGCATTATTTGTATTTTAACTATTATTTTGATTAATTTTAATTAAATATATTATTGTATATCAAACATTATACCTAACTGAATGGAGAATTTCTGTTTATATATAAGTAAATACAGGAATTTATCAATTTCATTTTTATTTGCAGAGCTGTTACCAAAGAATCATTTGATATTTTATAGAAAAATCTGCGAAGGGTTTTCCCAGACTATTTTTTATGTCTCATTGTTAGATGACAAGAATATATTTATAACCTTACCAATACTGGACACTCCCAGACTTAATTTTATTGACTTTATATGTCAGTTAAATATTTTTGATATATTTCTGGGGATTTTAATAGAGGACAAATATTTATTTTTTCCTTGCCTAATCTTTTAAAATTAAAGACAACTTTTTTCCAATGTAAGGATTAAACACCATTTTTGTTTTCAATATCCAGGTCGTCTCCTAGACGAGCTAGTATCAGTGTCTAGCTCTAGGAAGTGCGGCTTTGTAGTTCAAGGACTTTAGCCAGAACTCTCTTTTTCCGTGGTTGATGAACTTTTGCCACAACACTACGAATTGAGTTTGAGGACGCCGGGCCACAAGTTGGGCCGCGGACGGATATATAATATGTAGCAACTTACTGGGGATGTACGGCTTTGTGGTTCAAGGACTTTAGCCAGAACACTTCTTTTTCCGTGATTAATGAACTTTTGCCCCAACACTATGAACTGAGTTTGAGGACGCCGGGCCACAAGTTGGGCCGCGGACGGATATATAGTATGTAGCAACTTACTGGGGATGTACGGCTTTGTGGTTCAAGGACTTTAGCCAGAACACTTCTTTTTCCGTGATTAATGAACTTTTGCCCCAACACTATGAACTGAGTTTGAGGACGCCGGGCCACTAGTTGGGCCGCGGACGGATATATATTATGTAACAACTTACTGGGATGTACAGCTTTGTGGTTCAAGGACTTTAGCCAGAACACTTCTTTTGCCGTGATTAATGAACTTTTGCCCCAACACTATGTTGTATTACCTCACCTCAATATCATTATTAATCAACATATTTTCCAGTGCAGTTAGCGGCCTTCTATGCAAGGGTGAGCGAGAAATAGAAGACGACCTTTTCCTCTTCTTATGTTCTCCCATTTTACCTTAAAAATAAATATTATTAAATACAACTAATTATAAAATTTTAGAGATAAAACTTCTCTATTCCTAAAAGAACGTGTATACCATCTTGGCACAAAAAACGTTATGTCGTGTGAAAGGGATCGGTAAAGTAGGTAAGCATACTTAACCGATAAAGAAGTTTTTTTATCTTTGAACGTTGTGCCATCTAGCACCGAAAACCGGTACTACTAAGTTATTATAAAGTAATCTATTCGGACGAAGCGCCGAATATAATAACAAGCTTAAATGTAATTTAAAAGCACCCTAAAATTTGTCCCGCTCCAGCCCCTGACTATCCGAACTCGCCTATAGACTTTAGGCGAGTTCGGTCAGTCAGGGGCTGGAGCGGGACAAATTTTAGGGTGCTTTTAAATGACATTTAAGCGTGTTAAACTGTCACTAATCGGACTAAACCTAACGCTAAAAGGGTCGTTTGGAGTTAAAAGTGTTAAAGGAGTTAAAGGAACTTGGCAGACCGAACGCAATGTATAGAACCATTTATCTGTCAAAAGTCAAAATCAATCAAAAATAAGATTAGTCCTCCATGCAGTTAGCAGTCATAAGAAAAAAGAAAAACCGAGTTTTCCTTTTCCTAAATTAAATAGAAATGGCTGGAATTTTAGTAAAGAGTTATCGGTTTTGTATTAAAAGCTCTTTACAATTAAGATCATTATCGACAAGACCTTTAGCGGTCAGTTTAATAAGTAAAGGTAATGAAACATTGCAGAATTATTGCCCACAAATAAAATCTGGGTCTCTAATATTAACGCAGGTAATTAATATAATTTTTTAGTTTATAATTTTATATAATTTTGTTTGTATTTATTGTCTATTGCAAGGGTATCGCATTATCCCTATATTGATTAATTTTCCATTACATAACTTAACCTAACTTTGATAAGATGGTAACTAGCTTTATTATTAGACTAGGTTTTATTCGCCGGAATTCAAAAAAGTAAAACTCACTGAAGACGAAATCAAACAAAGAGTTCTGAAAGTTTGTTCTTCCTACGACAAAGTAACTGCAAATAAGGTACTTATAGGTATTTCTTTTTCAGAGACTTACACCACAAGAGCGAAGTTACAGTTCTAAGCCGCCACTGTCTTTGAAACTTATTACAGACAGAGTTCTGTTAGTATTAAAATTATATGATAAAATTAATCCTGAAAAGGTACAGTACTTAAAATATGATTTTAGATCTGTCACTTTCATTGTGGTTACAGTCTCGACTATAAGCCAGTATTTTTATTTGCATATTTTTTTACTAATAGTTTTGTGAAAAGAAAAAAATATGTAAATAGGGTATCTTTAAATAATGTAAGTAAATATTGTTTCCCATTTTTAGTTATCTTTAACATCCCACTTTATCAATGATCTTGGATTGGATTCATTGGATCATGTAGAAGTTATTATGGCAATGGAAGATGAATTTGGCTTTGAAATACCTGATGCTGATGCAGAGAAATTATTAAGACCTGCAGATATTGTAAGATATGTGGGTGATAGAGAAGATATTTACGAATAAAATCTGCAAAAAGTTAAATAGGTTTAATTTCTGTATTTTTTTGTCAATATAGAAATATTGTTATTTTTAAGTTTATTTAATATAAATCGTACATAAAATTACTGCTTTCATTATTTTATGAACATGTTTTTAAAAATGTGCATTGGAGGCATAGATACAATCTATGAATGGAGGAGAATTTAATGTCAAGTTGACAAACTATTTTATAATTAATGTCAAAATTAATATTTTTTATTTTAATACACCCCCTGTTGATTGCAGTAGATTTATCACTTTCTATTAGATGTAAATATTTTATGGTCATTATTCATTCATGATAAATAATGGCATAATGCACTGACAACTTAATAATTAATTGTTTTTCCTGATATGTGTAATGGTTTTTCAAAGAATTTCTTGTTTCAAACATTATGTCGATGCTAAAGGAGGATGGGATACTAACAGTACTATAAATAGTGTAATTTTAAAACAACACTGGCCATCAGTCACTATAACATGAAAATTAGAAAAAATATTAAGAGGTGATTAGTGACCTTGATGCCATATAACTGTGTGACTTGCCACAAGTGACATGGCAGATATTTAGTTTTTGGTGATATGACGTCACAGGATTTAAATTGATTTTTGATTCATTGTATGTATAAAGAAAGAATACAATTTTATGTGGCAAGGTGTGTATTTTCTACAATGTAAGTGTAGCTACTCGGTCTCTTATGGCGTTCCTAAGCAGTTGCTCATCCAACTACAAACCACAGTCGGCGCTGTTTAGCTAATAGCCTCAGGCACAGTCACTATAAATCTGAGTAAAATCTTGTAATGGAAGAGGTAAGTATAAGCATTTTTTCTTCTCAGCCTGTAACAGCTTATCCATGATTTTCTTAGACGTTAAATAAATGGTTGTACCACTGGATTTGATAAGCAGACCTACGTGATGTGACTTACTAACTAGATGTCATTCCTTACCAGATTGTCGAAGAGATATATATGAAAATTAAGTCCCAATTTGACAGGTTGAACCTTTCTAGGACTTTGAGATAAGTTGTACACTTTATTTCTTGTCTCATGAAACGCTAGTAAATTTTAATTTGTTTCTTACCGTATTTAAAGCATAAAGGGTAAATTTAATAACGCGTTTTTTTAATATTTTTGTTCTAAACTTTGAATACATGCAGTGATGCCCAATTTAATTAGTGTTATTTTTATCCTAATGCCAACCCACGACCCTTGTGTTAGAGCTTTAAAAAATTTAATTGTATAAACAACATATAACTTTACAAGCCTCAGTCGCCATGTTGAAAGAGGAGTCCACAGGTGTCAATCGTTGTCTCAACATAAAAACCTCACCCTGTATGTGCAAAATTTTAATAAAATTTAAAAATCTGTTAATTTTTTATAAATTTATTTCAATCTTAAAAGGAGTATTTACTTGACTTTAGAGCAGAGAATGCAAGGGTTTCCTGGTACCCCACTTTTAAAGTTTATTTTTGACTTTTTCTAAAAGAAAAAATAATGTACTTGTAGGTAAAGGTTAAATCTGTGCTTCTCTGGACACTTTCAAAATTTGATAAAAAAATACAAAACTCGACTTTTTTTAATCATTTTCTCAATTTTTTCAGGAAAAACAAAATTGATTTGTGAAAAAGTGGTTCTAGAGGAGCATAGATTTAACCTTTACCTACACGTACATATTTTTTTCTCTTAGAAATAGTCAAAAATAAACTTTAAAAGTGGGGTACTACGAAACCCTTACATTGAAAGATTTTTCGTCTGGAAAGTGGAGCCTCTGTTAGATTTTTAAGAAATTTTAATGGGATTGTATTAAATTTCCAAACCATACTAGTTAGAAAGTCGGTTAAATGGAGAAAAAGTTGCGTATCTCGAAGCATAATCTAGCGGTGGAAATTAATCGAAAATAACAGGCCCGGTTCTCGAGATATTTCGATAAAAGGAAATTCGACCTTTTCGGTTTTTTGGTTATCGTTCATTTATTTTTAGAACTACTAAAAAATATATTACAGGTTTTTTATTTGATAGTAAATTTTCTTTGATTTGACGTTTTTATATTTTGCATCCAACGTTTCGTATTCTCCAGATCACCCTCAACTTATTTTTTTTAAATATGGACCTAGATATTTTATAACATTATTTGAAATAACTTTTCGTCCTGCATCCAGTGGTGTAATACACAATGGCATTCAATGACGGTTTTTGGGTAATATGGACCGTAATTCAAATTTTATTGGTACGGATTTGTATTGAATTTATCAGTGTTAATTTTTAAGTGATTAATTAAATAAATGAAAATCATTAATTATTCAATTATTCGACTATTAAAAAATATGTTTTGATAAGATAAATAATTAAAAAATATTCCCGATTCCATTTTTGACAATACATACCTACCAAATTCAGGTTCATCGTTCAGTTATTTTTGAAAGTATTTTTTCCATCTTTGCATTTGCTAGCTTTTTCCTTCTATTAAATTTCCCTCTTTGTCCTTGATGTAAATATTTTTTGGCGAGTGTTTTTTTTTTGTATACCATTTATATATTTATATCTTTATAGAAATGTTTAATTTATTTTTTTTTGTAATTTTCTTGTATTTCTGCGACTTTTTTTTCTTGGTGACGCCTTTTCTTATTTCTACACATTTTTTGTAGGTATTTTTCTCTAAGTTTTGTGTTTTTTTTTTAATTTCTTCATCACATTCGTTATCTAACCATTCCTTTCTTTTTTGCGTTTTTTTCTTATTAATATTTCTCTCAGTTGGTGTTTTTATGGCATTCTCTATGTTATTCCATTTCTTCTCTACTATGTTGGCCATGTATAAAATTGGTGGATTATCTAGACTTCTTTCTATGTCTGCTCTATATCTCCTTGATACCTAGTTTACTTGTAATTCTTCCATGTTATATTTTGTGTTTATATTTCTATAGATGTTTTGTTTTGTTGTTATCCCGACAGAATGCAACCAAGTATAAACATTTTTCGGCGTTTATCTACAACTCTTCTCAAACATAACACATTTGATAAACCTAGAGTTCCGTATGTTCGAAGAAAAAAGCCAGTCAACGATATTAATGTCTTAGCTCAAATTCGAATAAATTCAGGAGTTGGGCCGAGGACTATTGCAGGTGAATGTTAATAAGATAGTCAAGAGATACGGATACCATGATTACAGATACCAAACAGTACAAAAACTATATCGTAATGATCCTGATAGAAGATTGTGATTTTGTAATTGATTTAAACAGAAGGTAAGACTTAATAACTTTGGACACAATATCATTTGGGGAGACGAAACAACATTAACGAATTCTGGTATGTTCAATCGAAGAAATCAACATTTTTATGTCACGGAAAATCCTCACTTAATACAAGAATTGAGACATCAATATCGTTTCTCTTTGAATATGTGATGCGGTTTGTTGAATAATAAATTACTGGGACCATACTTTATTGACGGAAACCTTACTGCAGAAAAATATTTAGACATACTGCAGGACATGTTAGAGTACCGTCTTAACGAAATCTGATTCCAACAAAATGGATGTGGTTCACACAATTCAAGAATGGTCACGGATTATTTGAATCAGACTTTTCTTAATTCATGGATTGGAACAAGAGGTCCAGTGGCGTGGCCTGTCAGATCTTTCGATCTGAATCCATTAGATTTTTATTTGTGGGGACGTCTCAAAAATAAAGTGTATAATACACCGGCTGTAACAATTGAGATTCTCCGCGAAATGATTGAAGATGCATTGGAAGATATCCAAGAAGAAGAAATAAACAATAGCATAAGAAATATGAATATCAGAATCGCCAAGTGTATTGAAGAAGATGGCGGACATTTTGAATAATTACTCAATTAATGTTATTGATATTTTCAAATAATTTGATTATGACTTACAAAAACTGAATTTCTTTTTGTTATTATCAGTAATTGCGATTTAAAATTTCTACATTACTATTGTTGTTGTTGATGAATTGTTTAATTGTCGAAAAATTACATAAATTTTGTAAGAATTGATTTTTTTTTCTACTGAGGGGCATGCCATGTTGATTTAACTAAATATGGCTGAAACCAAGCTTAAATTTAATAAAATTTGGATTGGTCCATATTACCCAAAAACCGTCATTGAATGCCATTGTGTAATACATCGCTGGATGCAGGACGAAAAGTTTTTTCAAATAATGTTATAAAATATCTAGGTCCATATTTAAAAAAAAATAAGTTGAGGGTGGTCTGGAGAATACGAAACGTTGGATGCAAAATATGAAAACGTCAAATCAAAGAAAATTTACTATCAAATAAAAAACCTTTAAAATATTTTTTAGTAGTTCTGAAAATAAATGAACGATAACCAAAAAACCGAAAAGGTCAAATTTCCTTTTATCGAAATATCTCGAGAACCGGGCCTGCTATTTTCGATTAATTTCCACTGCTAGATTATGCTTCGAGATACGCAACTTTTTCTTCATTTAACCGACTTTCTAACTAGTATGGTTTGGAAATTACTAATACAATCCCATTAAAAAAGTGGCCACCCTGTATGTAAATAAAAACAATTTATATTATATATTATCTTACTGTTTTACGAGGGGTAAATAATTTTTTATACTAAGATAAGCATAATTATATGCAAGGGTTTTATAGTACACCAATTATACGAATTATTTTTTCTACAAGAAAAATTATGTAAGTCCAGGTAAAGTCTGGAACCGTACCCTTCTTAAGTCATTTTTTGAAAATCTAAAAAGATGTCCTAATAGCCCAAGAGCCCACTGCAAATTTTTACCGTCATCTGATAACGAAATGAAATATACCCCAAAAGCATGGAAAAACATTGTACTTTACCAAATAGCACCTGTGCCAATCCCAATCCTGAGCAAAGTGGCTTAAAAAAATTATTTTATATTAAAAAAATCACATAAGGCATGACAGCGCTAATTTTGTTTGCCCTTAAAGTTTTCCAGAAAATAACATTCAAATATATCTTGACATATATCGTTAAAGGGAAACATTTTGTTCCTCTTAACATCTCACAAAAGCATCTATCCACGATTAGTAGGTAAATATCATTAAAAATATGAATCAATGTTT